TGTTAATGAACCCACCACTGAGGGCTTTGCTCCCTCTCCAAGGAGCAGTTTCCCATGCTTCTTCCCATTGCAACATGTTTTTGTGTTTGGGAAATCTGAATCTTTTGGTGATTGAACCAGTTGCTCACTGTCCTGTCCTGGAGCCATGGGGAAGGGGTGATTCCTGTTCCCATCAAGGACCTGACAAGAGTTAAAGAGCATGGAAAGGTGCCAGGTATGACAGGACAAAGCATGAGCTGGCAGGGCTGAGGTGAGCACAGGGGTGACACAGCTGCCAGCATCAGAAGCAGGATGAGCCAAGAGGTGAGGTGGCAGGGGCTGGGAAGGAGGACATGAGTCACTTGTGCTTCAGGCAGTGCTGGAGGAGGGAGCCGAGGCAGGGGATGCTCCCTGGGCTGCAGGAATGCTTGGAAGGAGAGTGGCAGGTTCTTGTGGCTGGAAATGGGGAAGCAGCAGCATGGTGCTGGTGGTAACCTGTCCTCTTTCCCATGGCACAGTCGGGTGCTCCTCTCCTGTGTCCTGTGCCCCAGGACCTGCAGAGCTGAGCAGGCTGAACTTGGCTGTCAGCACTGAACACCTCGGAGCTGTGCTGAGCCAGTATGTCAGCAAGGCACGAGCTGCAGGGGGCTGCTTGGCAAGGAAAGCACTAGAAAGGCTTGTTCCTACTGGAATCAAATATTTCTTATAATAAATAAAAGGTCAGAGTGTTCATCACAGATTTCATGATGTCACAGCATGTGGTTTGGTGGCAGGGTGGGTGAAGCCAGCACTGAGTGTTTGCTGGGGCAGTGGAATCACAAATGCAGTTCCCGGTGCAGTGAGTTGTTGGGTCTCTGGGCAGCCATGTGGTGCTGCAAGGCAGCCTCTGGCTCTGTGAGAGGAGCCACAGCTGGGAACGATGCGGGGCTGAGGAGCAGAGAGCTCATGAGCCAACTCTGTGAGCTCTGCAAACTCAGTGACAGGGTCAGGTCCCCACAGCTCAGCCCCAGCTTTTAGGAAGAGACTGCATGTGACCCTTTAATTTTTGTTTTAATAGAGATTACAAACACATTGAGACTTCTTCTAGGGAAGAATGTCAAAGCTCAACATCCCCATCCCTGGAAGTGTTTAAGGTTAGGTTGGATGGGGCTTGGAGCAACCTGGGATAGTGGAAGGTGTCCCTGTCCATGGCAGAGGGTTGGAATGAGATGAGCTTTGTCCTTTCCAGCCCAAAACATTTGATGATCTCCCTGGTGATTGCCCAGCTCCTCTCAAAATATGATAAGGAAAACTATCTTTAGTTTAGCAAATGAACAAAGTAATCCACAATCCAGCCAGCCATGCTAGATCTCCCATCCATACATCCCATCTTAACTAATTATTAAATCATATTTGCTGATAAGTATGAGATGTAATATCTATTACACAGCTGTTAAACCTCAATTAATATGTTTTAATGATCAGTCGTTTACTGTGCGATATACAATTAACATCCGGTATTAGATCTTAAATTAAATGCGTGTTTGGGAAGCTAAATTTGCAGCACTGAACACAGCCCTGCTGCAGTAAACAGAGATAATTGCCTGGAATAGGCAGCATTCCTGTGCTCTGAGAGGGGGCTACACCAACCCTCCTGGCACTGGAGATAAATGGAGGAGAATTGTTGAAGGAGCTGGGTTCTACTTGTTCAGTGCATTTTGATTCCTACAGAGGTTTTAATTCCTTCCCTTTGGAACAAAGCACCCTGATGCAGAGCTGCTGTGTTCCTGCACGTGGGAAGGTTGAGGTGCGTGGGGTGCCGGCTCAGAGGGGTTTTTACTTGGTAAATGTTGGGCAGGAGCGTGGGGCAATTAATTGTGCTGAGTCCTGGGGTTGTGTGAGGGTGTTCAGTGTTGCAGTTTGGAGCTGAGATTGAGGTCTTAAATCAAAGGTAAGGCTCATGTTACCTGCCAGCAGGAAAGCTCTCATTGCACCGAGGGCTTGGGGCCGTGCAGGGAAGTAAATTCACTTATTGGTGTTCTCCAGGCAGTGGCTACAGAGCTGTGTGTGTGGGCAACACTGCAAAATCACAGAAACACAGAATGGGCTGGGTTGGCTCCTCAAAGATCATCTTTTTCCAGTTCTCTGCATTCAGGGATACATTCCATGATTGCAGATTGCTCCAAGCCCTGTCCAACCTATGTCCCGGGATCCAGGGGCAGCCACAGCTCCTCTGGGCAGCCTGTGCCCACCCTCTGAGGAAAGAACTTCTTCATAACACTGGACCTAAATCTTTGGTTTAGTTTTAAGCTGTTGCTCCTTATCCCATCACTATTCACCCATGCAAAAAGTTGCTCTCCCTGTTTTTATAAAATGCAGGGGTGTCAGGCAGCCAGCAGTGCAGAGGGATGCAGCAGCCCAGGAGTGCTTTCTCCAGACTAGAGAAGGTGTAAAATTTGGTTTTGAGATTTTTTTTTAAATTCACATAAAAGTTGGGGCCACAAAATGCTCCCTCTGATCCTTTACACTGCTGCAATGTCTGCTCTGAAGTGAGCCCACGTTGTCTGGTGAATCAGCCTGCTCTCAGCATGCTGCTGCCTCCTTAACTCAGGACTCACCTTTCCTGTGAAAAATGTGCCTGAACAAAAATGAAGAAAAATTTTCCTCCCTTCCTTTTTCTTTTCTTACTCTTGGAGGAACAAATGAAGATTGATATGTTTTTCCTCTAGTCTTTCAGTTTGAATATGCAGTGATGCATCTTACAAGGAAAGGAAGCCTTCACCCCCCCTGTTTTCCACACAGAATCTTCCCCTCACCCCATCACTTTGTTATAGCAGGTGTAACCTCTGCAGAGATTTGGGGATGGGGTGGGGCTGCAGCTGGGGCTCCCCTGGCACTGTGAGGACAAGTGTGAAAGCTGACTGCCACCAGGCAACCCCCTCCTCATTTTCTATTTATCCTCACCCCAAAGCTTCCTATGAGGTTTGTTGTCTTTATTTTTGGGAGACTTTTCTGTGATTCTTTAGAGGGTTACATTTTTTTTCTGGCAAATTAATGCTTTCTTCTCTCTTTGGAAAGGTGAAGTAAAACACACATGACTCTGATTAACACTCCAAATTGCTGTGGTCTCCCTCCCAAGTTTCCACATCATCTTGTTTGGGGTCGGATGAAGGTGACTCAAACCTTCCAAGGAACTTGCTCTTTTGTACCAGGATTCCACACAACTTGCAATGCTTTGCTTCACAGCTGTAGATATCCCAGAGGGGGACAGATAGATTCAAGGTTTGGGAAGAACCTCATTTGGCAGAGGATGGTTGTGGCTTGTCATCAGTGTTAATGGGGAAAAGCAGCCCAAGACTGCAGTGTGTGCTCCAGTCCTGCCTGGGCAGGTGGCACTGAGGAGGGAGGTGGTGGAGGAAAGCTGCTGGTTTCCTTTGGGATTGATCCATCAGACCAGCTGAGCATCTCAGTAATTTTCCAAGGGGGTGTGGATGCAAGTGCTGCAGGCTCTGAGCTATCACTGCCCAACCTCAGTGCCAGGAGGGACCCCAGAATGTGCCATTCCCTCTGGGATCTGCCTCCCATGGGCTAAAAAACCTACTTAAGGCAACATCCCACAGCTGCTCGTGGGTGGCCCAGGCAGGGGTTAACAGACATGTCCTTCACACAACCAGTGAGCTTCGTTTCTGCTGAAGCCAGGAACCAGAGGGAGGTGGAAAGGGCAGAGCCAGCAGTGCAAGCTGATCCTCCCTGGAGACCAGATGCATTTAAGCAGCATGGAATAGAGGAAATCTGATTCCAGTGTTGACAGAGCTGCCTTGGCCATTCCAACTGGGCTGGGCAGAGGGACTGGAGCAGGCTGGAAGGCTCTGAGCTGCTGTGGCCAGCACACCCTCAGCCAGGCCAAGACTCCTTGCCCCAATACTCACCTCTTGCTTAAAGGAATGAAGGCAAGGGACACCAGGATGGGGCCTTTGGCAAGGATAAGATGGCACTTTGAGCCAAGTTTAGCCACAGCAGCTTCCAGGATTCACCCTTTACTAGGGCTCACATGAGGATGTGAGGCCAGAGAGGATGAATCTGCACATGTTGCTAATTTCTCCTCCTTGTGGTTGAGTCTCATGGCATCTCATCCTTTCAAAAATCTTCTAAGCTATCTTTCAGGTTATCCAGGATCCGTTGTTTGTACAGTTTAACCCTCTCTTTGCTCCTGCCCCTACTGCATCCCAGAGAGGATGCTCCTGTTTTAAAACGTGCAGCTGGGAGAAGGATGCTGAGGGAAATGCTTTAGATAAGCAGGCAGGCAGTGCTGACCTATGAATATGCTACCAAAACATCTCTATTTCTTCTTATTTGATACTTTCCCCCTTGTTGTTCTTTTTTCTGTCCATTTCTAGCTTTCTTCCCTCATTTTTTTTTTTGGTTTTCATCATCTGCTTGGCCATCTGTGCCTCCCCACTCCCTTTCCTCAGAGCTTCCCCAAAGCAGAATAATGTTTCAGCAACTCATGGATTTTGTCTGCAAGCCCTGAGACTTTTCTGAAGGTCCAGGCCAGAGCAAAGTGCTCCAAACATGGTTTGGGGTCTCTAACACAAATGATTCTCCTGTGACACCTAGAAAAGTCCCCCCAGCTGCTCTCTCAGCTTCAGAACAGTTGTTTTAGGACAAATACATACAGGGGACTTTGACAGTCACCTGTCTTAAGAACCATCTTGGATGTACATCACCCTAAGATTGAATTATCCCAGTCTTTCAATGTTAATTTTCAACTGTTAACAGTGTGTTTTCCAACTGAGGACCCAGCTGAGCAGAGCTGCATTGTTTGGGGTCGGCTGAGGGTGGAATTTCTTTATGGTTTGGGCTCTTGGCCTTGGCACAGCACCCTGGGGTGCTGCTGAAGGCATGGAGACCCTCAGGATTTGTATGGCCATTAAAGAAAGCAATCAGGGGATAAACACTTCATTTCCACCTCTGGCTGGTGCTGCTGAGTGGGGCTGGGCTGACTCTGGGTCCTGACCCTGTTTTCCTCCTTCCCTCCCCAGAAAATGAGTTTCGGGGTGAGCTGCTGAACCAGAGGTGGACCAGTGGAGAGAAGATCAGCAGCTGCGAGGGAGCCGCCGGCCTGCACAGCACACGCATCAAGGTGGGTGCACAAGCAAGGACGTTTTTAGGACAGTGACCCCCCCACCCCATGTGCTGGCCATGGGACAAGGGCCACATGTGCTGCAGCTCCTTCTGGACCAGCTGCTCCCGGGGGAACGGAGCCTTTCCGGTACCCACAAAGTGATGGGCAGGACTTGGAAATCTCTGCTCCTTGCACAGCCAGACCTCCTGTACAGCGAATCCGGGCAGGGAGGGCGTCCAGCTGTCAGAGTTTGGCTTGGACTCCAGATATTTAAATCCTTGCCTTCCTCTCCGGTGCCATCCTTCAAGGGTGGCTCAGATCTGGGTATTTAGGTCGCTCCCAGGCCTGTTCAAATAGGCTCTTTCTCCAAGGCGCCGGCTGGTCGGAAGGAGCCCCTCCAACACCAGGTGAAGCTGTGGCGCCTTTGGAGGGGACAAGAGAGTCATTCATCCCCACCGGGACCCTGGACAGCTCCTGGGGCTCAACACAGCCACTCATTTACTGCTGCAGCTGTGGCTGATGAAAGAGGTACAGCCAAGGCTGTCAAACCTCCCGGCAGATTCACTGCCAGCAGATTAGGAAGCTTTAATTAAGCAGAGAACTGGGCTGTTCACTGCACAAATGGTGCTTCCTGTCCTATTTTGGCCTCTCAGTAGTCAGGCACCGTCTCCAGTGAGTGCATAGACCCACCTGGGTGATGAGGAAGCTTCCTTAGGTGACTGATGTTACCAACTCTTCCTGTATCCCTAGATAAAGCAAACCCTGGGAAAATTCCAAACCAGCAAAAATCCACTCTTAAAAACATCCTTCTTCCCTAACAAGCTGTCAGCTGCACGCAGGTGTCGCCAGGAAAGCTCACACCTTCTTAGAAAGCAGAGTAAGCAGTTGTTGCTATATTTAAAATGAGCTCAATTAAGGCTTTTCTATTGAACCTGCCAAATAAGCACTTAGGTTAGATTTAATAAGATTGTCGTATGTTAATAAAGTAATGATTACAAAAGGTAACATTCCCAGTACCTGGCGCTCATCTGCTGCTCTGTCTCTAACAAGCACATCACGAATATTAACCATTTCTTGCAATCCTCAGCTCTGCTTATCTGTGTTTTATCTGAGTGCCTGGCTCAGGGGTGAAAGGAGGGGGAGTCTGAAGGGAGCCTGGATATTGTGTGAGTGTGCAGCCCTCTTACCTCACGGGAGGAGAGGTCCTGATCACTCTCTAACCTTTGGATCTGCATTGTGTGCACATGCTTGCACTTCTCTGTGTGCTCATAAATATATATTGTATTTAAATGTAGTTTTTCATGCCAGTCACAGCTCGTAATCCACAGGATGCACAGCAGTGAAGGACAATGGGATGTGGGGCACGTTTACTTATTTATTTTTACCTCTAAAGAAGTCCAGGCATGGGATAAAATTTCCCATGACAGGTTTGAAATGAGATCTCTGCAGTGCTGGGGAGAGCTGATCTCTGCATGGAGCCAGCTGAGCCCAGACGCTGCTGCCAGGGCTCGTCCTGGACCACAGTGTCTGGTGGCAAAAATGAACTTTTGCCTCCCAAATCCCTATTTTCCTGTGCCATTGGGATCTAGCTGGGAGGCAGCTGAATAGCATGCAGGATGTTGGTGAGGGCTGGCTGCTGTCAGGACAGGTAGGGTGGATGGTGATGGGGCCACCAGAGCCCATCCCTGCTGCCCCCTTCGCAGAGATCTCAACAATCCCCTCACATTGTGCCACCCAAGGATAATCTCATGGAAAAGGCAGCTGGCTTATCACAGAGCTGGAAAACAATGAGATTGAAGAACTACAATTATTTCCCCCCCCCCTCTTCCCTACCCCTCCTCTTCTGGCACGAGAGCCGTGGGCACGTACGGAGCCACTTCGGTCTCGCCAGCATTGGGATTGCGCGTTGTTGCACTTCCCAGGAGTGGAGAGGAAGGGGTGTGTCAACCCCAACCACGGCCTCTGCAATCAGCCAGCCTAATGCTGGGCTGTCAGCGCTGTGGAGGCAGCGGTGCAGCTGCGCCTGTGTCAGACGTGATGCTCAGGAGCAGCTTTTCTGCTCCGCTTCCCCCGAGTGCGGAGGATCTGCTGCCATCGCGGCAGCGCTCGGGAAGCGCTTCACTCGCAGCGCTGGGTGGTTTTGGGGGGGGTTGGTCCCTTTCTGCAAATGCAAAATGACAGCACGGCTTCAGGAGGATGTTTGTGACACAGCTGGAGTGTCAGATTCGAGGTGGGTACAAGCTGTGGGTTTGCATCTCGACATGCCAAGGCAAAATCCTCCCCCCTCCCCGACTCCGAGCCCAGGAACACCGTGCAGGGTGTCCTTTCCTGGAAGCAGTCAGAGCAAAAGGCAGACGGGAGCTTATTCAGCTGAGAACAGGACTCACAATAGGTGGAACGTCAGGAGGATTTAAATCAAGTAGCTAGGAAGACCCTAAAGGAAGGAGAGGGAAAAAAATCCTCCTAATCTCAGAGTGTGGTTATAAAATAGCAGCTGGGAGCTACTGCTGAGCCTTTTTTTAAAAGGAGAGGCACACTGTTGATCAAGAGTATTTCTTCCTCCATCACCCCTTATTTATTTCTTTAAAAAATTCACAGCTAGAGAAGGTCTAGCAGGACAAAGTCCTCCTCATTTTCTGCAATGAACAAAGATGCCATGGTGCTTTATAGAGGGGAAAGGGGAGAAATTTGGAGACCCGGATCCAGGCCTCTACACCTGTGTGCAACAGCCAAGGAGGAATTCCTCATAAGAAAGATAAGGGAGGAGAAATCAGGATAGGCCATTCAAACCCATCCCCCCTGAGAGGAAGTTTTGCTGCCTTTCCCCTTGAGGAGCTAAAGAAGGGACTCCTTGGCTCTTCAAAAGGGGAAGGACCAAGCAGAAAACCCCTTTTCAATAATTCTTTAGGAAAAAAATGTCATTTCTTGTAGCATTTTCCTTCTGCTGCTAGGCAAATATAAGTTGAGGGGTTTTAAAAACTAAAAATAGAGGCACTGTGTGTCTGTCTGTCCCTCTAAAGCTCAGATGCTGCTTCTTGCAATTGGCATTTTGCTACATCTACAAATAAGCACCGATGGAAGCTCTGCTGCTTTCAGTTAAAATAAATATTCCTGCTGAATCCTCACCTCCCTTTGTCCAGCTGAAGGGTTTTTCAGCATGTTTATTTTCTCTGAGCTCCGTGGTGCTCTTGAATACATATAAAGTATTACTGCTGACCGGGGGGAATTTCAGCAGGGCCTTTAATGGCAGATTTGCATAGAGCTGTCGAAGCCCAGGCACACCTGGGCATCAGCACGTGCTGGGCTCCCAGTGGGTTTGTGTTCTGTTATGTTCCTCGGGCTTCCAATGCAAAGGAAATGTGTATTAAGACAAGAAGGAAGAAGAAAATGTCAACGCTGTAGGTATTTCATAAAATGAAACTTCAGATCCGTGCTGTATTGCTGTCTTGGCAGCAGAACAAGACCTGGGCTGTAGAATCTGGCTGTTAAAATTCACACTGTGCTCGGGTTAAACTTCTTTTCAAGTTTATCTGTCTGAACATCATTGATTTAAGTCTGCAGCATTGACAAATTATCATTATAACTTGTATTCTGTTCATGTCAGGCAGCTCCTTAGTGCAGGGTAAACAGTATAGGGGACATTTCTTACTTTTAGAGAGAAAAGAGAGAGAAAAGTGGAACATAGAGATGAAGTCATGTTCCTAAGGTTACCCTGACTACCACTGATCTGAATCCTGAAGGGAGTACCCTGAGACTCAGGACAGGGTCCTTTCCTGTACTGTTGGGTTAGGAAACTTGCTAGATGCTGATTTTGATTTAATTTTAGAGATAACCCATAGATAAGGTGAGGAGGTGTGGAATAAACCTCTGTCTTTTCCAGCCAGACTAATGTGCTTGTGACTGGCATCTGGCAGCAATAATTTATTTGCAGGTTTCCTTTTGGGCTGCTTGGTTTTCATTCAGAGTTAAAGCAATAAGACTGAAATCCAGACAGCTCCTCAGCCTGGCTGCTATGTGAACAAGAGAGAGACCTAATGAAAATAGCCTGTCGGTCTCCAGGACTGCAAACATGCACTGTGTGACCTGAAATTTCACATTAAAACGATCTGTCTAGAGGGCTTCTGGCTGAGAAGGCAACAATAAAGGACAATGGTTTCATGTAACCTTCCTGCATCTGAGCCTGATATCACAGAGGCTCCAGAAGCACAGTCAGGGCTCTGCCAGTTGTTTAGGTTGCCTGGGAGGAGCAGGGGCTGAGCTCTGAAATGGATCTTATTCCTGGTGTTTCTGCACTTTGGAGGGAAATGAGGATGATCCTGATCTTGATTTAAGCTAAAAGAAGGAGCTTGATGGTAGAAAACAGAATCTGGGAGCACAGAGCCCACCCCATCCTGACAGTGATGTAAGTGAAACATTATAAAAACACAGCAGTGAGGCTGTGTCACTGTCTCTAAACAAGTAAGGGTCTTCCCTATGGAGGAAACTCCCAATAATTTAGAAATTTGGAGGTGGGTTGTTGGGTTGTTTTGCTGGTTTTTTGGGGTTTTTTTTTTGTAGAATAGCCAGGCAAGGCAGCCTAGTTGGCTTTTCCATTCTTTGGTCCTAGCAAGGTTGGGTCACCTGATGTCCCTTCCAGCCCTGAGAATTCTGTGACTCTGTGGGTCTGTCCCTGCCTTAGGTGGCTCCCGTCTGTCCCCTTTGCCCATGTGGTGACTGAATCTGCTCCTGCCTTCCCAGGGTGTTTGATCCTGGTCTGAAAGAGGAATGGGAGGCAATGGGAGGAATTGCTCTGAGGTGCTGTGCTGTAGTGAGGAGCCTGCATGCCAGCTCACATGATAGTTAACTCCCAAAGACAAATGTGACCTGAAATGGGATCTCCCCTATTTATAGATAAGCAGCTTGAGCCCATCCCACCTGTCTGGCCAAGAAAAATGAAATTTTGCTTTGCTTTTCCATGCTGTCTGTGCGGGTCCTGGCCCCTCACAGGAACTGCCCATTGCCCTTCCCACAGCCTGACCTCCTCTGCCCCTTTGATCTGCAGGAAACCCATATTGCCCCAACACACACCAATTCCCTGTGAGAATTGTCAAAAAAGGAATAAAAGAGACAGATAAAAAGAAAGGAAAAGCCCTCTCTGACATTCCTGGTTGGAGGCTCCCAGCAATCCAAGGTGCCACTGCGTTGGCGGCGTGCGGCGGCATTAGGGAGTGAGCTCCGTGCACGCCAGCATTGGGAGGCTCATAAATGTAATGAAGTCCCTGTGACACCTGCTCCTCTCCACACTTTAAACAGGAGCCATTGGTCCGCAGGGAACTGGGGCTTTAAAAATACAAATTATAGTAATTGTCTGCTGTGTTATTGGGAAGATTGTAATAAACGCAGAGCGCAACACTGCCGTGCCATGAGCTGAATGCTGACAGGGTGCATAAATTGCTCCAGGTTTTGATTCCCCTCACCCCCCCTTTTTATTTTCCTTTTTTCCTCTCCAGCCTCCCCCTATCTAACAAATCATTGCATGTTAACATTCAATTTCTGGAAGGTGGCAGTGTGAAAGAGAGAGGCACCTGGGGAAAACTTTTTCCCTCCTCTGAGGGGATTTTAGCTTGGTGTCCTCTCCCTTCCTGCCCCAACAGCTTCCCTCCCTCTTTGCTGCTCCCAAACTTCAGGAAAAGCACCAAGCAGTGTCTCCTGTGAGGGTGAGGAGCCCCTGGGAACTGGGAGCAGCATTCATCAAGATGTTTGCAGGTGCATGTGGGGATTCAGCAGCACATACCCTACCTTCACCATCCCTACTGCCAGTGGAGCAGCACATGTTCTGTGTGCGTGTCCCTTCCTGCCCCTAGCCCAGAGAGAGCAGAGGTGATGTCCCTGCTCTATCAGAGGTGCTGGAGCCATGGGACCTCCTCATTTAGGAATAATACAGGAGCTGGTTTGTTCCTTCTCTAACTGGGCCTGTAGAGGATGTTCCAAAGACAATTGGTTTTTATTATGTCAAATCCCACTTGTAAATGGGTTTTTTGCCTCCTTTTCTCTCTCTTTGTAATCTCTGGAGGAAGTGCCCCACATGGTAATGCTGCAGTAAAACCCAATTTGTCTCCCCAGCCTAGCAGGCTCTGACCCCCTGCCCTGCTCACACCCCCATCCTGCCTTTCCCCCTTGGCATTTACTGCCAAACACTCCTGCCTGCAGAGAGAGCATCTGTGTCAAGGGTGAGATGGAAAACAGTTCTTTGACCACTTCAGCACCTCCTTTGACAACGTTAATGAAATCCCATTTATATCATTCCAGCCGTGCCATGGAGGTCCCTGCTTTCCTGCTCCCGCCTCCAGGCACTGCCTGGTTTCAAAGGTGCTGTACCCCAGAGGTGGCTGCACTTCAGACTTCTTCTACCTTGTGGCATGTGGTGATGTTTAATTAATATCCAGAACTTTGAAGTCCCTGATGTTACTTATTCATGCCTGTGTTCCCTGCAGACCTCGTGTTTGATGTCCATGTTGTGAGTTATTTAGATGCAGTCATCTTTGTGGCAAATTTAAGCAGAGAGGAGAGGTTGTTCTTTAAGGCACTTGTGAAAAATTGCCCTCGTTCAGGCAGGAGATCAGCTCAGAAATATAGTCAGAGATTTCTGATTCTGTATTGGCATTCCACCCAGGTGCTCACAGCAGCTCTGTGCTGTAAATCCAGAGAAATCAGCTCTCCCTTAACAAGGGCTATCTCATGCACAGCCAACACATCTGGGTGTTTGTTCCTCTGTGCTACTCAACAGACAAAGTCCTTCCTGTGTCCCAGGATGTGGAAATTAATTTAAAATTGCTAAATCTGGGCACTGTGGGTTGAACAACAGCATTAAGGTAAGAAGCCTCCATCTCAAAAACATGGGAAATCTTCCCCAGCCACCCACAAAGCCACAACCACATACGAGCTTGCCCTTTAATGGTGATTTTCTGGTTATCTTTCAGTAATGATTTTTTTCTTTCTGTTGCAGATGAGTTTAGAAAATGATGATAAGAGAGCACGCACGCGATCCAAGTCTGTCCGAGGTGAGTGGGAGCACTGGGCTCTGCAGACCTCAGCTCCCTGCACTTTCCTTGTTCCAAATAGGATTTGGTTTTTCAAGTCCAGGCTTAACTCTTCAAGTTATGCTCACCACCCCTGCCCCAACCCCACTGAAATTTGTCTAAAAAAACCTGCAAAAGTCCCAACCACAAAACTTTATAGGTCCGTATGATATTTAACCCTCATCCTCTACACTCAGCTGAAGGAAAATAACAAGCAAATAAGGAAAAAAAGCCCCCGTGCCTGCTTTGCTGTAGGGGATGGCAATCACTGGAGCTTCAGATCAGCTCCCAGAGCTTTCATCAGGCTCATTCTGCCAGCGGCTTTGAAGTCACACATCTGAGAGTGCCTGGCAGAAGTAGCTCATGCTGGAGAAGCAAATGGGCCATGCCCCGGCAGGGATGGGGGGACAAACAACTGGTTAATGCAAAGATTGATTGTGATTTATTTCTGGATTAAAAAAAAAAAAAAAAAAAAGAAGAAGAACTGAATTGCTGTGTATGTTTTCTCTCTGGGAGAAGGCAAGAGGCTCTGATAGAGCCCAGAGTGTCACGTCAGGTAGTCCCGTAGCCATGGATGATGCCTCTCTATTTTTTGTTCATTTTTGTGGCTGTAGATGTGATGAGTTACAAAGGTGGCTGGAAGTGAGGAACCAACAAGGTTGGAAAGGTGTGATGGCTGCAGGGACTGCAGCTTCATGCTACAGCTGGGCTGGGCCACCTTCCTTTTGTCCTCACCTTCCTTCCTCCTTGCTCTTCACAGCACCTGCACCTTTTAAAAACAAAACCAAACCCAGATGTTGCCAGCTGTGTTGAGCTGAGCTTGAATATTTGGATTTCGTTGCTTTGTTGCACACACACAAAGGTGCTCATTCAGGTTGCAGATGAGAGTGCCCTGATTCTATTTATTTTCTCACACCCTGCCTTTTCCACACTTGAATCTGGGTTTCTCGATGTGAAAAGGTAATTTATTGCCTGCACCCTGGGACTCGTCACTGCCTCCAGTTTGTTGAAGCTTGTGAGTCATCCCACTGGGAGCTGGATCCCAGGAAACCCAATTAGCTCAAACAAATTGAGCAAACGTGTTATGGTTTTTAGCCTGGGCAAATTTAGACTTGTGCTGAGGGATTTTTTTTTTTTCCTCTTGATTATTTGGATTCCTGGCTGGATGTAAGGTTTCAGCTGCGATGTGAGGTTGTTGTATGTTCTTGTTATGAGCAGAGAGAAGCCCTCTTATTCACAAGTGGGGAATAGTCCCTAAAAATCCTACAAACTCTTGTTTACCTTATATCCCAAGTAACAAATCCCCCCCATATGTCTGAGCATTGGCAGGGACTCCTGCCTCAGTCTGATGGGACAGGGAGAGGAGAACGATGCTGGTGCTATAGAGATGAATGTGGCCATTGCAGGAAAACAGCTGTGAAGTGTCAAAGAAGAAATTGATGAGCAGCTTTAAAGGCCAAAAAGAGAGATGAAGGCATTAGAAAACTCGGTCTTTATTTAAAATGTTTGAGTTACATGCATGCATGTCAGAATAGTTCCATTAACTTCAAAGTCATCACGGATTCAAAGAACAGAGGTAGTCCCTGATGCTGCCAGTGTGCACTCACCTGCTTGAAAATCAGCACAGGCGTGAGGATTTACAAGGCAGGATTATAATTTGCTACAGCCTGGCATGCAACAAAGGACAACAAGATAAACTGGCCCTTTCTTTTCCAAATGGGAGGAAACAGAAACCCAGCTGCTGGCAGGAGAGCTTCAGTCTCGGGGGGTCAGGCACCTCTGGTTTGTTTCTGACTTTGTGTTTGCTTCTATTGCTGCTTCCTGCCCTTCGCCCAGTGCCCACGGAGCTCATCGGCCAGGAGGTGAGGTAAGGACCCTGCTCCTCCTTGGCCCTGGGAGGGACGGGGGGCACAGGGTAGGACTGGCTTGAGAGAAGCCCCTCAGCCGAGAAACCTGGGTGAGGGCAGCAATCCCATGGGATTAATGGGGTCTTCTATTGGTGTGTCCACTAGACAACACATCAGGGGAATAACAAGAGTTAAAGAAATAAACTGCAGCTCTGGATGAGTGACATTAGACTGGAGACCCTCCAAATCTAAACCCCATTCAAACCTAATGCCCAGGGTTTGTGTTTCAGGGTCACTGGGGACACCATCCCACTAACCAGAGGTTTTTTCCCACACATTTGTCATGTCACTTCTGGTGCTGGATGCTCCTTCAGCCCCGCTGTCCTGTGCTCAGTCACCGAGCTCCTGTTGTCACTCATTTAGCAGCGCTGGGATGCCAACAGCAGCAGCCAAAGGAGCAGAGCCTGTGAAGCCCTCCAGAGCTTCTCTTTGGCTCTAACAGCCTCCCCCTAAACCTTGCACAGGGGCTTGTGCCAGAGGTAGGAGCCTTTAACCTGGACAGGCACTAAGAGCAGGGGCTGCCTCTCCTCGCAGCCTTCCGCGTGAGTCAAAGAGTAATTGGACCTAAACCAACGCAATTTCAGAGCATTTTGCTCCTCCACTCTGGGATTACTCTGGAGAGCCGGGAGGAGCCAGCACTGGGCATGCCCCTTCTCCAACTTTTATTGCTGAACACTTGAGTGGAGGTGGTAATTGGAGCAGGTGACATATCTAAGGGGCAGGACAGAGTGCTCCACAAAGCCATCTCTGCAGCTGTCACCTAATTGCCTGAATAACTGGACGATTAATCGACTAATTGGAAGCAGGGCATCGTCTGCATAACAATAAGAAGCCCTTTTGTCAAGCAGATGAAGGCAGCGGAGGCGGGGGGAGCTGTTCGGTGTGGTGGCTCTTGAGGGATGGAGAGCAGCTTTAATAGACCTCGAAGCTCGTTTCCCCTTTCGGGACTCGTGCCAAAATACACGAAAACTCTCCAAAGGAGAGTGGGGAGGGAAAGCCTGGCCCAGAGCATGTAGAGCATCACCTTTGTGCTGGTGCTTTTTAAAGGCATTAAATCAACAAAGTGAAGGCAGAAACATCCCAAATCAACACCTGCTTCTGCAAACCTCGATGCTGAACCACTTGCCTCTTTCCTACATACTTTCTATTGCAGGCTTCATTAAACCACGTTAAAAATGGGGTGATGGGTAATCTGCTTTAATTGATACAGGAAAACTTATAAAAGCCTGTAACATCTTCATCAGAGCTGCTCCTGTTTGCCATTGAATCAGGCCTTTTTCAGACAAGCCACTGGTGACATAAACACTGCTCTGTCTTTTGGTGTGCAGTCACTGAAAGTGTGGCTGGGCTGCTTGGGACAGAGCAGCCTGTCAGGCCTGAGGACAATTAAAATTAAATAGACTTTTAGATCATAAGCAGCAAAGAGGGAAGCTCCCTCTTCCAATGGCACATGTTAGTGGGATGAGATCTTGTTCTGTATGACCTCGAGTGTCCTGCTGGAGAAGGGACACTGCTGTCAGGCCAGACCCCAGGTGTGTGGGACTGGGGCTGTGTGTGGGTGCCAGAAGAGCTGGGAGCCATCCCACAGGAGATGGCCCTGCAGGATGTGCAGCATCACAGGTTCAAGCCAGGTCACAAGCAAAAGGGACAGCAGGAAGGGGGGACTTATCTGGAGGAGCCATGAGGGGCAGCTTCCACTTCCCCAGAGCACTGTGTCCCCTTAGGGGATGTGGTGCCACCAATTGCCCACTCAGCATTTGCTTGGCTAACCTAAAGCCAGTCAGTCTCCCTGAAGGAAGGATTCCCACTCCCCTGACAGTTCAGCAGAACTGTCCTGCCCCAGTTTTGGGTTGAATTATGTTTTTTGAACACAAAGATCTGACTTGTATTCTCGGGAGTTGAACCATTAATAAACCACCAGTGCTCCCAGAGCTGCTGCACCCACAGAGCATCCAGACCTTCTGTGTCCTCAGCTTTCTGCAAGGGCTGAGCTCTGCTGAGAGCAAAATTCTGAGTCCCTAAAGCCTGACTTGGCACTTGGTACTATTTAATGTTCTCCTATGTCTTTTACTGTGAGAATAACAGGCTGGCCAGATCCCCTCTGGGCTGGCGATGCCTTCTCCCTTTGCACTGTCATCAAGAGATTTCATTAGCACTTCCAGCTTCCCAGGCTGAGGGTGATACAGTGCTAAATGAGGTTATTAATCCTACACGACTCCAGAATTCCTCAGACATCAGGCAAGTCACTTGGGCATCCTGTAATCAATGCCATAATCTGGTTTTGCCAGAAAATGTTTGCTTTAATGCTTCTTATCTGGAGCCCTTACAGCTCCTGAAGCTGGGACTAATTACCCCTGCAGGGGAGACCGTGGTCCCGTGGAGGGATGCTCAAGTGAAGGCAGCAGTGGCTGTGAGCGGGCTCAGAGCTCCCTGCCAGCCTTTAACTCATCCTCTTCTGCAGAGCAGCAAGAAAAAATTGCAGGGATTTGGGAGATCTTGTCACCTAAATCCTATCCATTCCCCCAAAAGTGAGGTTTTGAGGATTTTAGTCCTGGGGATCTCCATCCAATGTGTCTGGCTAAAACCTCCGTGATAAAGTCCCAGCTTGCTCTTCCCCAAAACACACACATTTCTTACTGTAAGTGGCCCTAGTTCCCTGACAAGCCACCAGATAAGGGAAAATCCCATGTTTTCCTCCTGAGAAAAAGAAAACTGGAGAGTAGCAGCAGGGAGGCAGAGTGCAGTAGCTGTCTGCCTTGAAAAGCTTGCTCTCACACATGCAAATCTTTAATTAAACATACTCATAAAACTATAGCAAACTGTTCATCTAATTAAATGGGGTGAGTAATTTCATTAATTTTTAGCAAACTGCAAGGCTGCTCTCCTGCCCTCCTCCCTTGGAATTCCAAGGGACAAACGGAACCATTCGAAGGAAATTAACTTCCTGTTTGCAGTTAGCTTGGTCCTTGGGCACAGGACCTGTTTAACCAACTGTAGAGGATACAATCCTAATTAATCCTCCGAGTCCTCTTGCTGTTCCTGATGTTGTTTGTTTCCCTCCCAAGCTGTCCAACCCCAGGCTGTAATGGCTCAGGACACATCCGTGGGAAGTACGCGAGACACAGAAGGTGAGGCGGGGTTGGAGGTAGAGGGGATGGAAAAATGTGGGCAACAGGGCCAAAGACAGGTGTTCACTGGAGAAAGTCTGGTTCAGAGCACCAACGCAACTCGTCTGCCCCAAATATTCTTGTTTCTGGCTCTCCATCAGTCCCTTAGAGAGATGTGTTCCTCCAGACTTCTAGCAGCCTCCCTATAGAGCCCAAATTTGGCCAGAAGTGCCTGACTCGGTTGTCTGGGTCAGTGGGAGCTGGTGATGGGCAGAGATTTTGGTCTGCCTGGTGCCTCTATGGATGTGGAAGGCAAACTGGAGGTCATGCAAGCCTTAACTGGGGGTTTTCATCACCCCATGAATCGTTAAATTGGAGCAGTTGGTGGATGTGTCCCAGGGGCTGGTTCTGCACCCTATGCCTGGTTTCATGGTGCCCATCACCAGCATTGGTCCTGGGATGCCACATCCCAGCATTTGCCTGCTGATTTCTGGAAAAAAGTTGATGTAGTTGCACAAAGTCAAGGTCTAACAGCACATGTGGCCACAGAGGTTAAACCAGCTAAAAATCTGGGGTCCTGGATGATTTTTTGGTACTGTTTGTGTTTTTGTCCCACTTATATTTGCCTAACCACTTGGGATGAGGTAGCCATCCCTCTCTCACTCAACAATGCCTCCTCTCTGCTCCTTGATCCCATCTGCAGTTTACAAAGCTGCCCTCTAGCCAAGAAGAGGAAACTTCAGGATGCTGAGGCCGAACATCTTGTGTCCAAGAGGAAATCCCATCCGCTCAAACTGGCCTTGGATGAAGGCTACAACGTCGACAGCGACGGCAGCGAGGAGGCCGAGGCCAAGGAGGAGTCTGGCTCTGACGAGTCAGAGGGGATGCTGGAGGAGGACGAGGCAGAGGCGATGGAGCAGGAGGAGACCCACAGCCCCCAGGCAGCAGAAGGTGCTTTGTCATTACTGTGTTCTGCAGATGAAGAAAGGGCAGGAAGGGTTAACAGCCAGGAGTTATAGCTCCTGTGGATTAGGTACAGGATGGGTCCCTCAGTTACTGGGGGGACTCATTGTTGGGTAGAAGCATAACGGCAGTGCTCTGGTTAAGATGAGAAGGCACAGCACCTCCAGTGTTTTAAAAATGAGAGCTTTTCCTTCAGGGATGCTCCCTAGGGACAGACCCGTGGACAGCACAGAGGAGCTTGCTGCGTCGTGGGGAAGGCAGCCAGGGTCCCACACAGGTGCCATGAGGGGCTCAGCAGGATCCTCCTCCCTGGACAGATCTGGCCACTATCCAAGAACAGAGGAGTGGCAGGAAAAGGACATGGAGAAGGACATGGATTTTCATCTGGGGTCCTGACACTACCTTGCTCATTGGTTTGGAGCCCTGGCCTGGGGAGCACAGGCAGCAGGGGTGGCAGTGGGAAGATGGTGCATCTGAGCCCCATGTGGAAATCCTCTTTCCTCTTGCCATCCCCAGATTCAATAAATTAGCATGTTTCAGAGGTGGAACTTCCAGGCTCTGGTTTCAGTTAAATTGAAGTGCAACAAAGTTGTATTTTATGAGTTTATAAAATTACTTTCTTTGCCTCCTTTTTTACTCCTTCTTCTTTTCTCTTCCCCCTCCTTTTCTCTTTTACTCCTTTCTTCTTTTCCTCCTCTTCTCACTTCCTCACTTTTTTTTTTTGGTTCTTTTCCATATTTTCTTTCTTTTCCCCTTCTTCTTTCCATTCCTTCTTTCCACCCTCCAGAGAGAAGCCCAGCAAAATCAACCCACTATGGACAAAACACAGCAACGAGTACATCTGGGCCCAGCAAGGCCAACTACAGCAGCTACCAAGAAATAATCGCCAACTCTCTCCTAAACTTAGGCCAAATAGCAGAGGAAACCCTCGCCATCGAAGGGCAGCTGCCTGAAACGGAGCTGCAGGGCTCCAAGCCAGCATCCAACGTGGTGCATTTGGTCCATGAGGATGCAGGAGAGGAGTTGGTGGAGGAGGAGTGCGACAAGGAGATCATCATCCAGACGGAGGACGCGGAGGAGGTCATCGAGGTCACCAGCGAGCGCAGCAGCGAGTTGTGTCCCGAGCCCCGGGACGACACCAACGGAGAGGAGTCCTGCAAACTGGAAAAGGCTGAAGCAGAAGAAGAGGATGAGGAGGATGATGATGAGGAGGATGACGAGGAGGAGGAAGAGGAGGAAGAGGATGAGGAGGAGGAGGAGGAAGAGGAAGACGAGGAGGAGGAAGAGGAGGAGGAGATGGCTCCTGAAGTGATCTGCGAGGAAGCTCCTCACACGTCTCAGGACCCCCAGAAAAGCCACTGTGAAGGGCAGTTCAGCCCCAAGCCCGAGTACTCGGTCATCGTGGAGGTCCGGTCGGATGACGACAAGGACGACGACGCCCGCTCCCAGAAATCAGCCGTGACTGATGAGTCGGAGATGTACGACATGATGACACGGGGCAACCTGGGGCTGCTGGAACAAGCCATTGCCCTGAAAGCCGAGCAGGTGAAAATTGTGCGGGAGCCCAGCCGGCTGCCAGGAGAGCACGTGAAGCACTTCCAGGTGGAGGACAAACAGAACAAACCGCTGGACAGCATCCGGAAGAGCTACTACGGCAAAGGTATGGGACAAACCTTTGTGTATCTCCCTCCCTCCCATTCCTGGTGGAAGAGCTGAACTTGTCTGCTCAGCACGGACCATTAGACTGATGTAGGGGGAGTTCACAGCCCACAGGGGGAATTCAACTGCAAATCTTCAATGCCCAAAGGGATGGGGACATCCTTGAGGTCAACAGTGAATGCAAAATATGCTGGTGTCCTCTACACCGTCACGAGGGTTCGTCCCTCTGAGTAGAGGAATTGCTTGGCTAAATTGTCAGTTAACCTTGAAAATTTCAGCCTGAGCAGAAGGGCTGGTTTAAAATCCAAGTGGGTTTTAAAATAGTGGTAGGAGTCTGACCATGGAAACACGAGGGCAGAGACTTCAGCATCCCCTGGCTCTGAGCCAGGCCTGCTCACTGTGAGTGTCTCCACACTCTGAGCTGTGTCAGTTCCTAAAATCACTTTGCCAATTTCAATTTTTGAAACTTCCAGTGTTATGTTTCCAGCTCCAGGGAAAAAACCTTCAAACCCAAAGGTTTCCCCTGCTTGACTGGAAAGGCAGTGAGAACCATCCTCAGCACTTTCCACTACTTCCCCTCCAAATCCACTAACCTGCTTCCCTCTGCCTTTCCCCAACAATCCTTAGATCCTTCAAGACCTGAGAAGCGAGAAATCAAATGTCCAACTCCTGGCTGCGATGGGACTGGACACGTCACGGGACTTTACCCCCACCATCGCAGCCTCTCCGGCTGCCCGCACAAAGACAGGATCCCCCCCGAGAGTGAGTACATGGTGGGGTACCAGGGGCTGCTTCAATTAGTCTGGAGCCTAATTTTCTTGGGGGAATTTCTCAAATGATATGCATTTTATGACCGAGTCCCTAGACTAAGTCTGATGTTATTCCGTGGAGTATAACAAGAGTTTTTGGCGTGGTATGGCTTTTCCAAGTTGATCCTGGATGCTGTTATCCACCAAAGTGTTATCGCTAATCACAGGAAACATGATGGGGATTTACTTGGAAGTCCTGTCCTTCTTAAAGGATTTTTAGCACCATCCTGTGGAGAATGAGATCCCTTCTCTGAAAATCAGAGGGGCTTTAAAAACGCCTGCCCATCTCCAGAGGTGCATTAAGCAGTGCCCATCTTTACACTGGAAGTTGCATATTTTTCCCTACTTGGGACATCATGTTGGGAAAAAAGGGATATTATTCTACCTTGCTGTCCAAATATGTTGCCAGGCAGGAAAGAAGAGGAGTGATTCAGGATGTGCAGGATTGCTGAGTCTCCTGTGCTGTAATCACTGCAAAATTCCCAAAGTGCTATACCAAGATTCACCTATTCTACAGAAAATATTTATCATCCTCATAACAGATTTTAGTATATACATATGCACAGAGAGAGATTGTATTTCCACCTCTCTACCAGCATCCTAAATAGCTTTCCCTGTATAGATACATAAAAATCAATGTTGTATGTTTACGATAATGGCATAATAGACCAAAAGAAAGAGGAGCCCTTCCTTATCAGTAATTTCAAAGGTTGCAGACCTGACATAAACACAGAACTGGAAGAAACAAGGAGAAAGGACAGTTATCTTCACAGGCTGGAATGCAAGCAAAAATATTAATAAATAACTAACACAAGCTGTGGGCTTTACAAAAGCTTGCAGATCAAATTATTTTCTTTACTTTAAGGTCAGCGCTGCAGGAAGCAATAATCCTGAAGATTAAAAATAAAAAAAAAATCAAACAAAGACTAGTCCTAAGGATAAAAGCAGAGCTACAACTTCAATCACTTAAAACTACCTGAAACTGGAGACCTGGCTCCAAAACTGGGGTGGGGAGGAGTGATTGGATGGGGGAAACTGGATTGCAATCAGAAAATGGGGATAAAGCCCAGGCTGTGTGCAGAGATGCTAACTTAGTGCTGACCTGGGCACTGCTGCCTTGTAAATCTTTTATTTTTTCCTCTGCAAACTCTAATTACAGCATTTCACATTCCCTGATTTCTAGGAAACCAGCGTACAAGGCTTGATGATTTTCTCTTTTTTTTTTTTTTCTCTCTGATTTTTATTAAGTTGTTTTTCTTTCCCTTCCCTTCTCCCCTTCCCCTTCTTGCTCCCAAGTCCTGGCGATGCACGAGAACGTGTTGAAATGCCCCACGCCCGGGTGCACAGGACAGGGTCACGTCAACAGCAACCGCAACACGCACAGGAGGTACGGCCTTGGCTTCTTCCTTCACAGGCACGGGGTGACAGCATGGGGGAATGGCTTCAAAATGACAGAGGACAGGGTGAGATTGGAAGAAATTCTTCCCTGTGAGAGTGGTGAGGCCCTGGCACAGGTTGCTCCATCCCTGGAAGTGTTCAAGGCTGGGTTGGACGTGGCTTGGAGCAGCCTGGGATAGTGGAAGGTGTCTCTGCCCATGGCAGCGGGGTTGGAATGAGTTGAGCTTTAAGGTCATTTCCAACCCAAACAATTCTGTATCATTCCATGATTCTGTGTTGATGAGGTGCAAGGTGAATTTGTCTTGTTTATTGAACATGTTCACTGTGGAGGAAACAAGCACTTTTCTCACAGGCTTAGTGTAGCTCTGGGTCCATGAAATTAAGGTTTTTGTGCTCATTCTTCATGCTTGGTTTCCTTCTCTCTTTTTCTTCTCCTTCAAAAAAAAAAACCCCAACCAACTCCTACAGTTTATCTGGGTGCCCCATTGCTGCTGCAGAGAAATTAGCCAAATCACATGAAAAGCAACAAACCCAGTCTGGTGATCCTGCGAAGACCAGCTCCAATTCTGACCGGATACTCAGGTAAGGGGGACAGGAAGGCTCAGCTCCATGTTCCCACACTGCCCCTGCCCTCCATGCCCTGCCACGCTCCCAGCAAGAGCAGCCACGGCTCCAGCTGTATCTTGATACTGCTGAGTCCTGTTGTTATGATCATAGGTCTCGCCAAGGTGGGGAGATATTTAATTGATGATCCCAGGGAGAGCATTGAGGACAATGAATTGCTTCTGTAGCATCAATTAATGCTGAGGCTACAGGCCAAAGGGTTTTAGCAGTGCAGCCGAAGGCACTTGTGCCGATTGCTCCGCAGCACAAACTGCCAGCGAGGGCTGGTTATTATATCAACATTATGAGAAGGGTGGGCTTGGAAAGCGGGGAGGAAGAGGAGGAGATTTAGGCTACACTCAAATCACTCCATGGCAGTTGTGCATTAAAGTCCACCTGCTTTTCTTCCTTAGCCCGCAGGTTTGAGAGGAGAGGAACCTGCTGCTCCTTTCCAAACCAGTCACATTAATTTTGATACTTTGCCCATCTCTCTCTTCCTGGGAGAAAGGGCTGTCTCCCATTAAGGATGTCCCTGATAGATGCTGGCTTCCGTAGCTGATGTGATTCACGAGGCTACAGATGGATTGGAATACGGTTGGTTATTTTGCAACGAGAGCAGGATAAAAACGGTGGTGCGAGCCCTGAGCGGCCCTCCCACAAAGGCATCGAGCTCTGATTCATTTATTTATTTGCTCCCCAGGACTGCTGGGCACCCTGGTGCTCCAGCTCTCGCTACTTTGGAAAGGCCATTTAGAGTGATTACTTATTTATTTGCAGCGGAGCCCGCGCAGAGCGCTCTGAGCACATCACGAGGACAGTCCATGCTCCAAGGAGCTCCCGCTCCGAGGACTCTCGGTGGAAAGAGGTCACGGGAAGGAGAATAACAATAGGCCATTTATATACAATTTATATGCAAGACAAATTGATTCATGATAGGCAGCCCCATAGCAGCAGGTCTCTAGGAGGGGCTGAGGCAGGGGAGAGGCCCTGGTGCCTCTGCAGTGAACCTGCAGCAGGGAGCTGAGCTGGACTGGGGTCCTCATGCCTTTGTGTGCCACCCTCAGTCATGGGTCCCATGAGGGAGTTATTGCCCCAGTTTGCTCTCTCCTGGAAAGTGCTGCCACACCATGACAGCCTGCAAGAACATGGTGCTGGATGAGGTTGACAGCTTGATTTTTTGCTTAAAAAGAGGGAAAAGAAATTGAAGGTAAAAAAGGATAGAAAAAATAAAACTGGAGTCTGAGAGATTCAAATCAGAGGCAGACTTGCTGAAGGAGAGCAAAAGGGCTGTCACTGCCTCCTCGTCCCCAGGAAGCCTTTAGGAACAAGGTACAGCTGTGCCCCCATTGTGTCTGGTCCCCTCTCAACAGTCACCTTGTCAAGGAAAAGAGAAGTAATTGCTGTTTGTTGTTTCATCCTCAGGCCTATGTGCTTTGTGAAGCAACTGGAGATCCCTCAGTATGGAAGCTACAGGCCCAACATGGTCCCAGCAACCCCTCGGGCCAACTTGGCCAAGGAGCTGGAGAAGTACTCCAAGGTCACCTTCGATTATGCAAGTTTTGATGCTCAGGTTTTTGGCAAACGCATGCTTGCCCCAAAGATTCAGACTAGCGAAACCTCACCTAAAGCCTTTAAATGTAAGTTGGGAGCAGGGATGGACTCGGTTTTTGCATTTTCTGCTTTTCTCAGCATGTTGCAAGGCTCTTGTGATTGTGGTTTGGGGTGATGGGAGACTCTTGGGGCTGAGCTGCTGGACCCTCCTGGGATGGGGAGGGTGAGGTGGGTCCCAAGGTGGGCGCCTTTGATAGTGAGGGGAGTCCATGGCTGCTGGGAAAGCTTGCTTTGGAAGAAAGTCTCTTTGGCTTTGGCTTTGGGAAGAACTGTGGTGGGAACATTAATCTGAGTGATGTCTCGAGGTAGGATAAGTTACACAGTTGTCCTCAGTTGGTCCCCATTGCTTTGCAGCTCATATCTATTGATCTGGCTTTCCTCATCTAGCTAAATGGATTACAGTTTTCTTCTCTTCCATCTTATATACGACCCACTCCCCCCATTTGTCTTCCCTGCCGTGCTCTGCTCTCCAGCTTTACCTATCGATCACCCACCTCTATCTTCCAGTTCTTTCCTCTCGTAGCCACCCACCTCTGCTCTGTTCTGAGGGCTTTGCACTGGTTATAACTCTGGGTGAAAATAAAAGGGCTGAATAAACCCTGAATGGCCGGGATGCCAAAGGCAAGAGGGACATGCATGGGGACACAGCCCTTGCAAATGTGTTATTTGACACCACTGTGCAACTCAAGACATTTCTTTGAGGAGCAAAAGAAAATATCTAGGAGCCCAGTTTGTAGAAGTCAGCAGCCTCAAGAGGGCTTTCTGTCTGGCTAATCCCACTTCCACAATCCTGTTTAATCCTGATGCAGCTGCTCTCTAAAAAGTGCTCGTACTTGAAAGCATCCCGGTTGTTGCACTACAATGGGAGCGCTCTTTATTACAGTACTAAATCTGTACAGGATCAGACAATGAAATTGGATGGAGGCCAGAGAGCACAACTGCCACTGTCATCCTGGGTTAGGGCTGATGGAAAAGTAATTTGTTTCCCAGTACAAGTGATTCTCTCGCTGAATAGATTGTGTTATTTGCAATATTAGCAAAGAATTTTCAGGGTAATTGTACTGACAAAAATAATTCCAGCAGACCCACTAGGATAATCCTTTCTATTTTTTCTCATCACTTATTTCACTAATTTGCTGATTGCGAGTCTATTAGTGCTAGAAATACTTATGAAATGGAAAAGCATCGCTGAGCCTACGGTGTGAAATTGAAATTGGCATCTCCCAATCCTGGATATTGTCAGGTTGGGTTGGCAAATACTCGCACCCCGCCTCGAAGACATGGATTAAACCGGACAGGAAAACAAGCAGCCAGACACAAGAATAACCATGCGGGCAAACCTCCAATGAGTTAATCAAAGCGACAGGATGAATATGATTGCCAATCATAGCAGGGAAATCTGCTCCTTTCACTGAGAACTTATTTTAAAGAGATCTTCATCCAGAGGGATTTATATTCCCCCGCATGCGTGTGCGTAACTCCCATTAATGTCAATATGCATTATATACGCACGCCACAAGGAAGAAAGCAGGGCTGGGGAAGATTAGTATTTTATAGTGTCTTATATTACGAGTTTGTAATGGGAATAATGAAATCACTTTGCTCCGTGGCTGCATCAGCTGAGGCTGGCTTTGTTTTGCCACGGTCAGGCCAAAGCCTTATCAGACTTCCCTGGGTGAGCCTCCCACTAAAGTGGGGATGGTTTCCCCCAGCAAGAGCATGGTGTAATGAATTAAGAATTTGAAGATTTTGATAATTGATTCAGAATACAATCCTCTGACTGTTCTAAATCAGATGATCTCCTGTTTTCACCCACTGAAACTACTGAGGGCCCCTAAATGGGATCAGCTTCAAGTTTTATTAATAGAGAATTATCAGTTGTTATTAGGGAAAGTTTTATTGTGTGTCCACCTTGAGAAATACTTTCATTTCACAGGTTATGAAGAGAAATTGCATCTCCAGGCTGGTTTGCTGCTGCTGTGACAAACAGGAGCAGAGCAGCAGCGTGGCCATGTGCAGCTGTGCAATAAATCCTGTTACTCTGGCATATTTAAATGATATGTCAGCTGTCAGAAAATCCATATTTCACCAGTGTCATTCTTGGAAGCTCATATTTTATGACCACGTGTTTTCTATTAATGTAATTTTATAAATTTAAAATTTTCAAACATGGTACTAGAAATCTCCCTGCAAGGCAGCCCTGAGATAAGTTATGAACAGACAGAGAACAATAAAAAATGAGTCAGGAAGCTTCTCTAAGCTTTCTCCTTTAACTGCTTCCATCGAGGAGCAGCTCTAATGAAGAAAAGCACTTGTGTTTTGGGTATTAATGGCAGAGTCAGTTAATGAATTAACCTTTCACACCAAGCACAAGCTGCAGCCAGCACTGCTCCTGTTGCACGTCCCAGGCAACAAACCAGCCCCTGGATTGGGAATAACCCCAGGAACTGTGCATACATTAACCGCATCACACTGACTTAACCTCTCCCTGCTTCTCATGCCGCTTATACATTAGCCTTGTGTTGTTCCTTCTCTTTTTATTCCAGCCAAACCTTTTCCAAAGGCCTCTTCCCCCAGCCACAGCCCCTCCAGCAGTTACGTGAAGAGCACTTCATCTTCCTCCACAGGCTTCGACTACTCCCACGACGCTGAGGCTGCGCACATGGCGGCCACCGCCATCCTCAACCTCTCCACCCGCTGCTGGGAGATGCCCGAGAATCTCAGCACCAAGCAGCAAGAGGCCCCTGGCAAGGTGGGGGAATGTGGCCAAGAGCCACTGCCCAGGGGCCAGACTTGAGATTCGGGATGGGAGAGACACCTTGGTTTACCCTTCCTTTCATTTTGTTTTTTTAAATACAGAGGCAATGCAGGCACTTATTCAAAATCATCCTTTTGGGTCCCCACTTTGGGTTTGGAGGAGGGAATCGTGGCTTTTTGAGTGATGTGGAGGTGGCTCATGGTTCAAATTACCTGTATGAGATGAGCATCAGTCCCAAGACAAGTCTTGGGCTGAGACTGGATATTAGGAAATATTTATGATTTATGATGGTCAAGCTCTGGAAGTGGCTGTCCAGGGCAGTGGTGGAGTCACCATTCCTGGAGGGATTTAAAGGACATGTGGATGTGGCACTTGGGGACATGGTTCAGTGGTGAGCTTGGCAGTGCTGCGTGAATGTTTGGACTTGATGGTCTCAGAGGGCTTTTCCAACCCAAACAATTCTGTAATTCCATGATTATTCAGAGCTGGTTTCAGTTGCTCCCTGACCTGTATCTGATGCCATTTGAAGTTCCCCTAGATGTGCAGAATCTGATCTCCAGCTGTTTTTCAGAGGAACACAGGTTTTCCCAAAGTCCCACAGAGCGCTCCCAACCTTGGGCAAATGTTTTGGATGCCATGAGGCATCCTAAATGGCACTGGATGCCTGCATTCAATCAACTGAGTCAAAATGCCAAGGCTTGGTTGGATGGGCCTTGGAGCAACCTGGGATAGTGGCAGGTGTTCCTGTTCATGGCAGGGAGGTTGGAATGAGTTGAGCTTTAAGGTCCTTTCCAACCCAAACCATTCTAGTAGAGGGGTGCCTTTGTATGATATGTTCCTGAAATATTTAGGAAATAGCAACCCTTTTTATGCAGCTGCTCCTACCTGACTGTGGAGAGGATGGGACATGAATACCTGCCCACTGCATTGTAAAAGACAAATGGGGGCAAGATCCCCATGGGGACTTTGTGGCATCTGCTAACATTGGTTGTGTTTCCAACCTTTCAGTCCATGGACATTGAGGTGGATGAAAATGGGACTCTGGACTTGAGTATGAACAAACACCGCAAGCGGGAGAGCACCTTCCCCAGCAGCAGCAGCTGCAGCAGTAGTCCCAGCATGAAGTCCCCAGATGTGTCCCAGCGCCAAAACAGCACCAGTGCCACGAGCAGCACCATGACCTCCCCCCAGTCCAGCCAGACCTCCCGCCAGGACGAATGGGATGGGCCCATTGACTACACCAAACCAAACCGCCAGCGGGAGGAGGAGCCAGAGGAGGTGAGCGGTGCCTCTCGGTGCTTGAATAACAGCTCAGGGGACTCTGAATGCCATGTTTGCCTGCACAGCTGTCCTGCTTTCCCCAGAATCCCCAGTTTGTCTGTTGAGCCAAGGAAAGAAATATTCCTGGCTTTGTCAGTGCAATCAGATATCAACCAGGCAGGAAGGAAGTGCTCTTGGATCTGTTGGGATGCCCTTGCAAAGGAAGACCCCACCATTTTACTTGTCCTGGGTCTGCAGTGTTTTCTTCATTGTAAATCCTGTCAGCTTCCTTGCAGCAGAGCTGCTTCTGGTGATGTTTTTCAGGATGATTTATATCTGCCGTTAGCAGCTACAGCCCTGCATGGCACTGACATTAATCCTGCAGGTGGGGAATCCAGCCATGACTCCCAGCTGGGCTGGGGGTTCTGGCTCTGCAAGCATCATCTGCCTCTCCACCCATGGGGAGGCTGCTGAGGAAGAGTGTGAGGGGGTTGCACTGATCTTCATTCCTTCAAGATCTTGGGAAATCCACATGTAAATCCTTTTACAGATGTGGTTTACATAATTCTAAAAACCCAGGAAATTACAGACTGTTGGATCTCTGGGCTGGGTGCTGTGAGATGCTTGCAGGGGGCTCAGCAGTGCTGGCAATGCTGCACTAACCCTTAGCTGCCATGAACTTGGGATTCTTTCCCATGACAGCTCAGCAGCAATGGCCACACCACAACTCTGCCCCTTTCCTTGCAGTCAGAGCCTGCTGCTCACTCTTTTGCCTCCTCGGAAGCTGATGAGCAGGAAGTGTCAGAGGAGAATTTTGAAGAGAGAAAATATCCAGGTGAAGTTACTTTAACCAACTTCAAGCTGAAATTCCTCTCCAAGGACATCAAGAAAGAGCTGCTCACGTAAGTCCTGCCTTCTTGTGTCTTCCCCCAAACTCTATTAATATCTACCTAGCCAGGATGGTTGGAAAGAAAATTAGTGAATACATTTTAAAAATAAGAACTGTAGCTACCTGTACTAGTGTGATTGATCTTATCCTCCTATAACTGCTGATCAATGAGGCAAAATATGTTCCTACATTACTTTGCAGTGATGAAGGGAACCTGAGAGCTTTGTGCTCTGGATTCATGGACAGGGTTGTGGGAAACTCCTTTCAGGGCCAGCTTTTTCCTGGTATTTTCCTGCAAGAGTGTTTCTGGCACGGTGATGACACCTACCCAATGTCCTAATCTGCTGTTTTGGGACAATGGATGATGTTGTGGAGCCAAGAGCACCCAAGGGAACTCAGCACTTTCTTGAAGAGGGTGTTGAACACAAGATGTCTCATTGAGAAGACAGGATTTGTTGGCTTAGAGCAATGGGTCCCAGCACTGTGATACTTCAGGAACACAAAATGTGACCTGAGGCTGCAGCAAGTTTGCTGTTGTGTTGCATTTTGCATTGGAGAGAGACCTTGACCAGCTCACATCTGTCTGTCCATCGTGGGGGTGGAAGCACAGACCCAGACCTGCCCTATTGGACGGAGTACGGCTCTGCATCCACACCAATTCCCACAGGAATGGTTCATGTTTAAGGGTTTGAGCCAAACATGGCAGCTTGGACCTGGCTCTGGTCTAACAGCACGTCAGGATCAGCCTGGAGGTTGTGATGGGGAGATTTCCCCTCCCAGGCATCCCAGCTGTTCCTGGCTTCTCTCCTGTGCATCTGACCCTCCCACACATCACACAGGGAGTTGGTGGGCACTGTTTTGCTCATCCCATCCAACCCACTGGTTATCTGCAGGCAGGAGGCTGAGGGAGCAGCCAGGCAGGGAGGAGATCTGTGGGGGCAGAGCAGCAGCAGCATCTTCCCTAAATGAGCAAAGCTCAGATCAGCTGCCCTACACAAAGCTCTAAAGGGTTTTTTAAAACCCACCAGTGATGTGAACAGCAATTTCTGAGCTAGAGCCCTGAAGTCCTCCTGTGCTTTAATTTTATTGTGATGGCAGAGAAATTTCCTAAATGGAAACAGCCCTGGAATAAATAAATGGTGTCATGGGCAGCCCTGAGCCTTCCCTCTCCATTTAATATCCTTGTTCCTTTCTGGCCCAGGGGCTGCAATGAATTAGCCGTAGTTAACTCAGGAGCAGACTCGCCTGCTGTGTCTGCTGCTCTGTGTCTGGATGCAGTTCTTGTGCCACTTCCAGGCAGATTCCCCTCACCCGTATGTGCCCACCACCCCCAGAGGTTACAGTCACTCCCTTTCAGCAGCAAACAGTGTTTGCAAGCTTTTCTTTGCAGCTGCAAGGGCTGGGAGAAAAAAAAAAATCAGAAAGCTGAAATCTGAAGCACCTTATCTGAAATCTGAACACAATGAGTCCTGCAGCCAGAGTATGGCAGGAATGATCCAACCTGGCAGCAGCAGCCAGGGGTGGCCACGTCTGTCAGGCTGTGCCACCCACCAGGCTGTGTCAGTCCCCCACTGCCACCAAGCCCTCCTATAGCTAAAGGTTTCAAACACTTTCTTTGCCTTTGCCACAATTTTTTCTCAATATTTTTTTTCAAATTGTGTTTTTAGGATCCTTATGATCTTTTAGAAGTAAAAAGGGAAGAAGAGGAGCTGAAAGGGGAACAGCTGGTTTATATCCACACAAACATAAAAACACACACCAATATCTGATGGATGGGGCTGGTATCAGGGGTCTGGCAGCAGGGCTGGACTGAGACACCCCAGACAGACCCTGAGGGGGCTCTGCTGGCTCTGCCCACCCGTGGGTTTTGGGGAATCCATTCCTTTCCCACACTTATGCTCCTTGTTGTTGTTGTTGCGCAGTTGCCCAACCCCAGGCTGTGATGGCAGTGGACACATAACGGGGAACTATGCCTCTCACCGCAGGTGGGTCAACGTTTTCTATGTGGTTTGAACTTTAAAAACAATTTTTTTTCTTTTGGTATAGTTTGTGACCATGTGGATAGTTTGGTTCTGTTTCCTCCCCCCTCCTGTTGCCCCTCTCCCTCCCCATGCCCCAGCCCTTTTTCTTTTTCCTTTTTCTTTTCTTTTTTTTTTTTTTTTTTTTTGCTTATCCAGATATTCCATCTCTTCTCTTTCAGCCTTTCTGGTTGTCCTCTTGCTGACAAGAGCCTCAGAAACCTCATGGCTGCCCACTCTGCTGACCTCAAGTATGTTTGCGCTCAACTTGGAACTCCTTTTTTTTCTTTATTTCCACCCTTTTTTTCTCTCTTCTCCCTTCCTGCCCCCACACCTCTTGCTCTGCTTTTGCTTTTCCATCCCCTCCCTTCTCCTTTCAAAGAGCTGGTCAAAACCTGCCTGTGAGGAGCTCTGGTGGAGTCCAGCTTCCAGCTGCTGCATTGAAGAGGCCATGGCATTGAGGAAGGATAATTTTGGGGAGGGGGTTGATGGCAATGATTGGAAATAACCTGGATGCTGGCAGGTTTCCTCTGGGCATTGTAGACTTGTTATTTTCTTTTTCACTTGGCATCTTTTCCCAAGCTCTTGTTGCCGAGTTTGGGCCATAACCCTTTTCATTTAACACTTTTGTCCATCTCAAATAATCCAAAGCCTGGATTTATTTTTGGGTAGAGACTCAGCTGGGAGCTCACCGCCAGCACACAGCAAAGCCAACTCTTTTGGAGAACCTGGGGTGCTATTTTTATTCTACTTTTTAGGGGCTGTTTGGGATGTAGTGAGAGAGGTTCCTCTTCATTTCCATGATTTGTGAGGGAATGAAAGAAGGAGTGAGCAAATGCTTGGTGAGGCCAAATCCTGAGCCAGTGGTTGAGGGCTCACAGAAACCCAAACTTCCATTCCCATTGCTGTTTCTGAAGGGTGGGACCTGGTTTTGACATTTTCATTCAGGTATCTTCCTCTGAATCCCATATTCAGCTTTGCTGTCTTCTCCCAACTCCTCCTCCTCAGTAGGAGCTTATTTTTCACAGGTCGGTTTCCCAAACGCTCTCTTAGGTTGCCTCACCTAAAGGAAGGTTAAATTGTATTTAGTTGGGAACACTGGGGACACCCCAACCCTCTCCACCCAATCTTCATCTCTGGTGTAAAATCCATTGAGAACTTTTTTTCCTCATCTCTTTCATGGGCCCAGCCTATCCTTGCAGGCTGAGTCTCCTCTGAGTTCCCAGCCTTGCTGAATCCAGTTTTTGAACCATTTAGACACTGAGCTAGATGAGGAGCCTCCACTGAGAGTAAAGCCTCATGAAGGGCTTTACATTGCACAGGGTCAGCATGAAAAAGCCCCAAAGTGCTGTGCCCTGTGTGCAATCAGGGGTTTCTGGAGCCCCACTGGTCACTGAGGCCATTGGAAAAGTCCCAAATCCCTCTGTGGTGGCTCCTGGACTTCTCTGTGCCCCACCACCAGTGTGGGGCTGGTGCCAGGAAAAGTGTCATTTAACCACCTGCTCCTTATCACAGAGGTGGACAAAGTGGCAGGATTAGCTGATATTAATAGAATTTGCTGGTGGATGGCAAGGCCTGCTGTGATTAGTGCTAAGTACCCTTAATCACACACTACAGACCATCCACATTCTGAAAGGACCTCTTCAAAGAGCTCTGCTGATCTGGTGTTTCTCCAACAGTTTGGAAGAACAGCCAAGTGATCAGACAATTAGTGTTAAAGATATCAAAAGCCCTCAGGAGCAGTGGCCATTCCCATCAAGGGCCAGACAAAAACCAAAGAGCTCATCCCTGAGACTGAGCATCGTGTCCAGCCTTGCTATGTTCCTCTTTGGCATCCAATGTCATTGCTTTTTATCAAAATACTGTGTAAAAAAGGAGACTTCTGGCCTAAAAAAGGCTTGTCAATATTATTTCCACAAATACCACTTCTTTTTTTTTTCTTCTATGTCCTGGTGAGGATGGGAGCAGAGGAAGGAGGAAGGGATTTTGAGATATTATAGATTGCATAGTCATGTCTTTTCAGAACTCCAGATAAGACCATGTCAGTGTTTCTATTATAAATTCTATTTCAGGGGTTAATATCCCTGATATAAAAAAAAAAAAATAGCTCCAGGCTGGAACATGCAATAAAAGGTCTCTGTTGGTATGATTTGTCTCCAGAAAATTAAAAATAAAAATCAAATTACTTCTCTCTACTCTTCAAAAATCCTGAAAGGAAGAAAGAGTTTGGTGTTAGTGTTTTCATAATTTCCTCCCACCCTGAAGCTAGAACAACAGAGAAATAGTTTTGCTTTCTACTGTTAACAGTGTACAGCTGGGAAATATCCCAGTCATCTCGCAACCCTGCAATTTCTAAACGAGTTGAAGAATTTGCACCCTCATTGAGGTCCTGCTGGATGTGTCCTGCCCTTACTGCACCAGACCCATGTGCAGTTATGTTTTCCTGGCTCTGAGCCTCCCTGTTACCCCTCTAGGACCAGGCCATGTCCCTGCTCTGTCACCGGAGGTGAGGTGCCGATTTTTTTTGCCAACTGAGATTATTCAGTGACCTGCAAACACCAAAGTCTCCTTCAGAGCTGCTGCAAAGAGGAGAATTTTGGTATTCTCTGAACAAAAAGAGAAGACTTTTTTAAAAGCTGTTTTCCAAGCTGCCAAACTGAAGTCACCTGTGGAAACCATTGCTCCACTGGCTCTCAGGGCGCAGAGCAGCAGTGCAGAATCACAGAATAGTTTGAGTTGGAAGGGACCTTAAAGGCCAAACTCCCTGCAGTGAGCAGGGACCTCTTCACCTACATCAGGCTGCTCAGAGCCCTGTCCAGCTTTAGGGAAAGCATCCTGCCCTTCCCAAGGGCTCTGGGCTCAGGGGCTGCTCGTGCATCACCATCACTTCTCTGCCATGTCCTGCAGACACCAACCCCTGCCCTGCTGCAGGTACCAACCAGCCACCCAAACCAGGCACCAGGGGCTTTAAAAACAGGGCTGGAGACGGTGGGGACACCGAAAACCCTTCCCCCGAGGAGAAAGGGTGCTCTGTGAGCTCCTGGACGTGGCCTGAGCTTTGCTCAGGGGGAGCAGTGAGCATCTCCCCCTGGTCCTGCGGCAGCTCCGTGGATTTCCCCGCACACCCCCTCCCCCGGCCTTAATCACTTGACTCAAAAAGCCCTGGCTAATTGGCAGGCTGGCGTGCACATCCTCTGCAAGCACTCCTCGCCTCTCTTCCTTGTCCCCATGACAACTTTTATGTCGGCCGCGTCACCTACAGCTCCGGGAGCAGGTCTTTGAGCTGTGCTCCTTCCCATCCCTCCCCGTTAATGGTGTGCTGCTAACTCGGGCCATCCTCTGCGTGCACTGGGTGGGCTCACAGCCCCCACCAGCCTTTGCTCGGGTTTGGGGGATCACAGCAGCAACCTCCAGCCTTTGCTGCAGAGCTCTGGATGCTCACCTGTGTGGTACTTTCTGGGGTCCCCAAGAGGAAGGAGGAATGATTGATTCTGACTCCATGTTCTTAGAAGGCTAATTTATTATATTATGATATTATATTAAAGAATTCTATACTAAAACTATGCTAAAAAATAGAACAAGGATAGACAGGCTTAACAAGAATGATAATGAAAACTTGTGACTTGCCAGAGTCCCGACAAAGCTGGGCTGTGGTTGGTCATTAAGTAAAAACAAATTGCATGAAACCAATGAAACAAACACCGACCACATTCCAAAGCAGCAAAACAGGAGAAGCAAATCAGATAATCATTATTTACATTTTTCGCTGAGGCCTCTCAGCTTCCCAGGTAGAAGGATCCTGGGCAAAGAGATTTTTCAGAAAATATGATGGTGACACACCTGGAAACTCACGGCCACGGAGGCACCTTCAAAGGTCACTCTGTAAGGCAGCAGCTGAGGACTCGGGGCCAGAGTCTGCACCAAAAGGCACAGTCTGTGCTAACCCGGTGGTCCCCAGCCCCAGGCCCCTCACAGGCTGTCCCCGCTGACTCCCTGTGCCCTGTCCATGGTACTGTGGAAGGGCTAACCTATCCCTTTTCCTCCTGTTTCTCCATCATTTGCCATCAGGAGCATTGGCCAGTTTTTTTGCACTCTGTGGACCCTCCTGCCATGGGCTGCCCAAGAGATTATGCTCCCCAAGTCACCCAGACCTGAGCCATCTGTTGTTGGTGGCTGTGGTGGCCCTGCTGTCCAGGGCTGCCGACTGTTTTTCTGGTTTCTGGTCTCTGCTTGGGTCCATCCTGCTGGCCCTGGACAGCCCTTGCTGTCTCCTTGTGCCTTCCTAAAGATGACAAACATTGTCCTGGAGGGGCATTTTAACTCATTATCGGCTCCTGAGCTGTCCCCTTCACGAGGGTGGGGACACAGGCTGGGACCTGTGTCCTCTCAAGGGAGAGCAGCTCCTCACTGTGCTCCCACCATCCCAGGATGTTCCTCTCCAATGTCACACCATGCAGAGATGCACTGACTTCAGCACCACAGATATTACAGACCAAATCTTGTCCTTACAGAGGGGGAAGGGGCAGGAAGGAAAAACCTGCTCCTGTGCTGGCAGTGCCCAGATTTCTCTTTGAGAAGAGCTGTCACAGAGTGTTGATCCCCTGCTCACATCCCCAGGCTAATCCGAGCCTTCCTTGCCTCTGCAGGTGCCCTACTCCTGGTTGTGATGGCTCTGGTCACATAACAGGAAATTATGCATCACACAGAAGGTAAGATCTCCCTTAAATTATTTTCTCTCTAGTCTCTTTCTGTGTTGCTTTCTTTTTTTTTCTTTTTTTTTTTTTTCCCCTGCAGTGGGCAGAGTTGTAAAGTTCTGAATAAAACATTAATGTTACTGACAACTGAAGCCTATTTTCATCTCTTTAATCTGACTTCTTTTTTTTTTTTTTCTGATGTTTTCAGAATCTGATTAGAAGCTCCTTTCAACAGAATAAAAGACAAAGGGTCAGATTTTAGCTGATGCAATGTTCCTGTTAATATTGCTACCTATTTATGACTTCTATTATCACTTTAGAACATTAATAGCACAGATCTGAGCCTTCTGTTTCAACAATTCCATTAAACATTGCAGGCTGTTAGCAGATATCTTCTTATCTAGACACCATTAATTACTGTCCATCTCCCTCAATTTTTTTACTATTTTTTTTCCTTCTGACTTCTCCTCGTGATGTGAAGCTGCAAAACGAGAGAGATCAAAAACACTGTGCCAAATTCAAGGGAAAGATGACTGAAGCGGGGGAATAGCAAATGCAGAGATTCTGCCAGTGAGACAGGCCTTTCTTCTCTTTTTAACCACAGTCTGTCAGGCTGCCCTCGTGCCAAGAAAAGTGGGATCAAGATCACCCCGACAAAGGATGATAAAGAAGACCCAGAGCTGATGAAGTAAGTATGGAAAAAACTCCTGAGCAGAGCTTGTCACTCCATCCACTTCACCTCACACAGATTTACGTGGGGGATCACTCAGCACCCACCCCACATCCCCCCTCGCTCGTGCTGCTTTGAGCCCCTCTGCCAAAGCTCTTTGCTGTGTTTTGGTGCTGCAGTTTTGATATTTGATGGAAAAATTGGGTGGTGGGGAGGTAATACTGTCGTTTTCTTGCAGATGTGAAAGGTAGGTTGGTAGGGCACAAACAGTTTCTCTGCTAGCTGTACTTTATATAAATTCCTGGAAAACCACAGCAGTGTTGTAAATGAGGGTAAACCCCCACAGTCAAGTCAAACATTGCAGGTTTTTGGGAAGCAATGGGCAGACAAGGGCTGATGGAGTACCCAGTGCTGAGTTGGGTCAGGATCTGGTAACTCTGAATAAACTGTGTTTTGTGGAGTCTTTGCCAGGGCAGAATATTTGAAGTGAACTGGAAAAAAACCTCTCTCTGCTGCCTCAGGCTGAAGTTTTCAAAACATCCCAGGGGGTTTATTCCTGTGGGGAATAGAGATTTGAAATTGCTTAGTCCACCTCAGGAGTTTTCATGAGCTGTGAAATCCATTTGTCCTGACTTTTAGCAAGTCTGAACATCACAGGCTCAGCATGTGGGGTCTGGGATCTCTATCTCCTTACACAGCTACAGGACATGAAAGGCAGCACTGACTCCAGGACCCTATTTTCTTTTTTTTTTTTTTTTTTTTTTTTTTTTTGTTACCTCAGAGCATCTCCAGCCTTTCTGAAGCCTGTACACTCACCCAGCAAGTACAGGTGGAAGGGGGTAAAAAGAAACATGGAAAAAATGATCAACCATTTCTGAGGGTTTCTGGTTGCCCAGGAGTGCTAGTGTATCTATCCAAACCCCTTTGGCTCAGCAGAATTTCTCCAAATGGAGCATTTAAAAAAATATTTCACTCCCAGGGCAGGTCTTGCCCTCAGAGAGGAGCAGAGGTGGATATCCCCATGTGCCCAGGTTTTGGCCTGGAGCAGAGGCTGAGCCAAAGCAGGACCCAGTGGGGCTGGAAGAACCCAGTGGGGGCCATGGGAAGCTGGGATGTGCCTGCTGGGGGGGAAGGACCTTTCAGAAAAAGATGGTATTTGAGCCATCTGCTCTGTTCTTCCTCCTCAGTCTACAGGAAGGAAAGCCTCTCAGTTAAATGAGCCGTGTGATAATTAGCAGGAGTTTGCAGAGTTTATTAAAAATTAAGCAACCTACTCGAGAATCTGCAGGAAAAAAGCCTCTTTTGGCTCAAATACACTGAATTGCTGGTGGTGTTGCAAAACTGTGCCATTAACCAGTGACACAGGGAAGGAAAGGGCAGGCAGCAAATTGGTGATGTGCAAATGCTGGCTGTACCTTTGCTCTCACCATGGTTGGAGACCCCAGTTGGGAGGTCACCCCTCTCCATGGTTTCCACAGAGACATGTGGTCTGTGGGGCTGGGGAAGTTGTAGTTTTGCTCATTTGTGCCTTCCCCATTCAGGGCAGGACAGAGCAGTTTCCCCAGTGTGGTTTCTCTGCACAGAAATCACTCCTCAGTGCAAGGAGAAAGGAGTTTTTGTGTGGAGCACATGGTGGGGGCTGGCAGGACACCCACAGCAGAGTGAGGGTCCCCACCAGCATCCTCACCAAGGGCTGGGTTTCTCCTAGTCCACCCTAAAGATCCGAACACTGGGAAGATAAAGTTTCAAGAAATCATTTAATTGTTTGGGTTGGAAGGGGTGTTAATTCTCACCTCATTCCAACCCTCTGCCATGGGGTGGGACACCTTCCTCTAGACCAGATTTCTCAAAGACTCATCCAGTCTGGCCTTGGACACTTCCAGGGGTGGGGCATCCATAGATTCTCTAGGTTCCAGGCTCCAAATGGGGCTGGATTTCCTTACTCCTAGATAGTTGGTGCCATCCACCTCCACAGACAAGTCTTGGTGGAACCATGGGCATGGGTGCAGGAAATGTGAAATGTGAGGGTCTCTGCAGCTGCAGGAGAAGGAGGCATTCCCTAACAACCCATTAACCAGGGACACAGGGCCCAGACAGCAACCCTCCTCTTCCAGTACACCCAGGAGGAGCAGAAGCTCCTCTGAGATGTGCAAAACAACGTGGCACAACAATCCCTGGCTGGTGCCTCCCCCCAGCCTGTGGCAGTGTTTGTCCCACCACCCACGGCAAGGTGTGCCTGCTGTGGGTTTATGTTAAGGAGCTTTGGCTCTAAATCCTTCCTCTGTCTGCACTGAACTCCACTTGGAACCCGGCCGAGTTCTGCACATCGTCACCGAGGAGAAAGTCATTTAGTCCCTGTTGTTTGTGCTGTTCATCCTTCAAGTAATTTGCTGCAGATGTGATTGAACAGATCACCTCAACCTTCAGCCCAGCCCATCCAGCAGAAGCATCCACAGGTGTCTAATTGATCAAACGCTACTGGTGCTCCCATTAAATAATAATAATATTTTAAAAAATAATTTAAAATATGTCCAAGACAGCTGTTTTGCACAATAAGGCTCTGGTTTATTTTTTAACAATGAAAATGTAATAAAAGTTAAATTAACGGTGTAAAATATGTAATGGCTGGGCTGTAAAGGCTGCATACGAAATGCTGGGGTTTGTCTCTTTCTCTCTTGCTCTTCCCCCCTCTCCCCCTTCTCCTTTTCCTCCTGAGGATTCAGTAATTTGCTCGTGATCATATAAAAGCAATGATGTTATGAATTTACTGAGGATCCTGCTGGCAGGGATATTATAAGTGAATTGTGCTGCATTTGCAGCTGATTAAAATCGAGATCAGCGTTTTTCAAATTATCTTGGGAAAAGGCTGGGTGTAGGCCTCCCCCCTTTTGCTGTCATCTCCCTTTTGTGTGGAATGTAAACAATCAGGGCAATAATTTCTGCGGTGAAACGCAGCTTGTGATTTTCAGGAGCAGCTCCGCGAATGCTTTTGCTGGAGAGCCTCAAAGTCCCTAATTGCTTCCAAACTAAGGACATGGGGGCTATTTTTGTCATTTCTTCCCTCCTTCCACCTCCTCTATTTTTGAGTAACCTCCCTTGAGTAATAAACTTTTAACTGTATTTAAAATTGACAAGCATTTTTAAAACAAATGCAAACCACAGCAGAAACCCTGATAGATACACTGGGCTTGTAGGATGGCAGGAATTAGGGAAAATGCCATTAGGTGAGGAGGGAGGAAAGAGGTGCCTTTTAGAGAGCCACTCGTGTGCTTGGCAGTAGCACAAGTTGTATTGGTGCTTCCAAAGGCTCCTCACAGCTCCTGTGTGTTTTAAGTGAAAATAAAGAGGCAGAAGTCTGGCAAGGGCAGGACTCATGTGCTGCCTTGATGATAATTCCCACTTTATCCCCTTGAGAGCGTGGGCTGATCTCCCCAGAGAGGCAGGATGTGAACCAGGAGGAGGAGGAGGCCATGCTGTGGCTGCAGGGTGAGGGGTGGTTCAGTGATTTGTCCTGTTTGACGGGGTGCAGGCTCAGAAACCCCTCGGACGCCCTCCTGGCAGGAACAGGGCTGCAGCTCTTTGTGCACAGCCTGAACAGCTCCTGGCTCAGGGACTGGCTCCTGGGGAGGGCTGTGTGATAAGAGATGAGCCTGGGTTCATCAGCAGTGACACAGGGCAGAGCCAGCAGTACCTGTGTGATGGCTCAGTGTGAGTGTCAGCCTTGGGGTACATCAGGATTCCCCATCAGGCAGCCCAACCTGCAATTTTTGTCCCCAGTGAGGCACCAAAGACCTGGTTTCTGACACCACTGGGACCTACTTTTGCTGCATGTGACGTGACCTCAACAGACTTCCCTCCTGCAGAATTCTCCTTGATTCCCTTTGTCTCTTTTGAAGGAGCAGTCGTAGCTTTTAATTTCCCATCTGCCATTTCCATCAACCAAGCATTTCCCCTATAAACTCCAGACGAGACCCAAATACAAATACTCCCTTCCCAGGCTTCCTCATTCCTGCTCATCAACAATTCCCTTCCTTTCTTTATTCCTTCCTTCCGTCCCTTCCCCTTGGTGTAACTTTGGCTGGTTCCCCGTGCCCAGGTGTCCCGTTCCGGGCTGTGTTGGGCTGGGACACATCAGTGGCAAGTACGCGTCTCACCGGAGCGCCTCGGGGTGCCCGCTGGCAGCCCGCAGGCAGAAGGAAGGATCCCTCAACGGCTCCTCCTTCTCCTGGAAGTCCTTGAAGAACGAAGGCCCAACCTGCCCCACCCCAGGCTGTGACGGTTCTGGCCATGCCAACGGGAGCTTCCTCACTCACAGAAGGTAAATCCTGGGGTTTACGTCAGTGTGAGTGTGATGATTTGGTTGTGGATAAATCTACCTGCCTCAAGATGCAGTTTGAGCAGCGTTCAGCTCCTCATGCCAGGCTCAAGAGGATCAAGAAAGGGTGATTTTGATGCTGAGTTCATTCAGGTTGAAGTTTACTGAAGGTAGAAAATGTGTGGTTGTTTTAATATTCACAGAATCAGAATGGTTGAGGTTGGAAGGGATCTTAAAGATCATCTCATTCCAACCCCCTGCCACAGGCAGGGACACCTTCCACTATTCCAGGTTGCTCCAAGCTCTGTCCAGCCTGGCACTGGATACTTCTAGCAATCTTCCACTGCTTCTCTGGGCAGCTCTGGTCTCACCACACTCACAGGGAAGAATTTCTTCCTAACCTCGAATCTAAATCTATTTGCATGCTGGAACAGAATTTGAGCACCACAAATAGGAGCTTGGTGCCCAAGACAACCAGACTCATCTCACCCTCCTCACCTAGCACACCTCCTCTTTTAGGAAGCAATGTGTTTTTAATCATTGCTTAAAGAAAATCACTCTCACTTTATAAATGGGGTGTTTTGTGGCATTATTCATAAAGCAATTTCCTCTGTACCATAAAAAGCTTTTAGAAGAACTGTCTCGCAGCTTGAATTCCACCAAATGGCACATGTTCTTATGTTGGGAACATAAGCACCTATAAATACTGAGAGTTTATGAAACCCATTTTTACTTGTTTTTCAGTTTGTCAGGGTGTCCAAGAGCTACTTTTGCTGGGAAGAAAGGAAAACTCTCAGGGGATGAAATTCTCAACACAAAGTTCAAGACCAGCGATGGTAAGATTTTTCACTCCTTTGCCTTGCAGGTGTGTCATGGTGTTGAGCCCATAGATCTTTTTCTTTTTAGACTGGGAGGTTTAAGCTGAAACCTGGGCACAGATTTCAAGGACATCATGTACTTTGAAGACCCATTCCTTGTGTTTTCTGGGTGTTTGTGCTGGCATGGTACCAGTCTCACTCCTTGAGTCACACATTTTAAGGGAGTAACAATAAAGAAGGCAAAAGAAGTAATGCTGAAATTCAGATTTTTTTTTCATATATTCACTGGCATTTTTACAAATCCCTTGCAGTCATTCAGCGATTTTCACCTATTCAGGGCTTTTAATACTGAGATATTTCTGGATCTGGAATTTTGTTAGCGATGGCACTTTGCATTTCCAGTGCTATTACTGAGCTTTCTGTGGTATTTGACAAAGTTCAAGCATTGGACTTGATAGTTTAGAACCTATAAATACCTGCACTCCTCTAGAAATATTGCTTTATTTTATGGACCTCGTAATTTCTCATCATGATATGCATTAGTTTTTTAAATGGCATCATTCCAAACTCAGGATTGGAGAGAGTGACCTGACTGTTCAGGACAATCAGCCTTGCTGTGTGTGGGGATGTGTTGGACCCCAACTGCTCTGCTGTCCTTTGCTTTTGCATTTACATATTGACCTGTTCAAGTATCATTGAACTGTGACAATAAAAATATTAATTATAAAAAAATAGAAAGAAAAAGGCAGGTGAGAGGTACGTCCTGTTTCAAGGTAAGGACGGTGCAGCAGGATGGGCTCAGCAGAAAGCCCAACAATTTTGCTTTTCCCAAGAGCATTTGTTGACTGCCCATGACCTTCCCTCCTGCAGTTCTGGAGAACGATGAGGAGATCAAGCAGCTGAACAAGGAGATCAGTGAGCTGAACGAGTCCAACTCGGAGATGGAAGCGGCCATGGTGAAACTCCAGTCCCAGGTTTGTGTCCTTGGCCATGCATTCAAGCCCAGGGCTGATGGGTGTTGGTGGGTGCCCTGGTGAGGGTTGGTGACCCTGCCGTGCTCCTTGCTCCACAGATCTCCACCATGGAGAAGAACCTGAAGAACATTGAGGAGGAAAACAAAATCATAGAGGAGCAAAACGAGGCCCTGTTCCTGGAGCTCTCAGGGTTGAGCCAGGCTCTCATCCAAAGTCTTGCCAACATCCGCCTTCCGCACATGGTAAGAAACTGTGACAGTGCTCACCCCAAGCTGGCATCACCAAGGGAGCTGTGCCAAACCCAATTCATGATAAGGCTTTTTCACAATTAAAGAGTGGGAGAATTTCTTTCCATACACCTATGTGTCCTTTGTAAGATCAGTACTTTTCCCTTATCTCTGAAGCTTGCATTGTATCTCCCTTTTGTTGTCATTTTCTGCTGATCTCCCCTTTTTATCTATTGTTCTGTCTCATTACATCTGGGAGCACTATCACAAAATAGGAAACTTTATCAAGGGCACCCAGTGCCTTTTAGGCTAAGACAGCACAAGCAGAGATCAGGAGGGATTGGATTTCAACGTCAGAAAGATCTTAGAGCTCCTATTACAATGCAGGTAGTTTCAATTCAGTTTTGAATAGCTGGCAGCTAAAGAATAGCATTCTTAAAGAGAGTGTATTTTGTTTAATTTAACAAGGTCTAACAGCCCACAGCATGTTACCATAGAGTTACTGAGAAATGAAAAGACTGCATTAAAATAGTAAAACCACAAAAGGCTATTAATTACCTTCTCTCTATTCCCAGGAATGTAATTACTGTTGTCAAAACCAGGTGTGTGGAGGTGGGGCTCGTGTTGTTGAGGAAGCTGTCCTCTTACAACTCATAAAGACCATTGGAATGATCAGAGGAAAGAGCTTTTGATTTATTTTTTCTTCCATTCATAAAGACCATTGGAATGATCAGAGGAAAGAGCTTTTGATTTATTTTTTTCTTCCATCCTTTTTTTTTTTTTTTTTTTTTGGGAATCCTTTTCATTGGAGTTTGTATTTAAATTCAGGCTGGTTGGAGAGAAGCCATCCTCCAGCAGAGCAGTTTTGGATAGTATTCACCCAGCTGCCTAACTGGCAGAAAACCACTCACTGAGAGCTTTTTTGTAAAGTATTTGACACATGAAGGTCAAATAAACTGTTCAGCAAATATTTTTTCAAGGTTTAAGGCAACTCCAATTAAATGATACCCATGAGACTTTTATGCTCACTTTAATCCCATTCTTTTTCTTCTTTCTCCCTCTCTTTTTTCCCCCATTAAGCCCAAGTTAGAGGCTTGCAATGCCCCTCAAAAGCAGAAGCTGTACTGCAGCAGAGAGCTGGGCTGGGCAGCTGTGAGCCCAAGGTGACCTGACTTTGCCTTTGGTTCCCTCCGTGATGTTTCAGCAGTCCTGTTGTCCTCCAGCCCTTCATTTCCATGCCTTAATTCAGCCTCCAGCCTGTCAGGCTGCCTGCACACACTTAACCTGATACTGTTAATAGCTCCACAAGGCCAGTGCATAAAATTAAGGACCTGGCTAAGATCTGGTGGGATTAGGGCGATGATGAGATTCCTGTAGATGCAGCACTGCACGCAAAAAGACTTTGATGCGGAGACCTTTGGCTGTCTGTACATACAGAGAATCATGGAATGGTTTGGGACTTTAAAACTCACAGTGTTCAAGCCCTCTGCCATGGGTAAGGACACCTTCCCTTAGACCAGGTTTCTCCAAGCCTGGCCTTGAGCACTTTTAGGAATCCACAACTTCTCTGGGCACTAAAATACGCAGATGATTTATTGCAAAGACTCTCATCCTTGTCCTTCTCTTTTACTAACGCTTTGATTTGACTTTTTTTTTTGGCTGCAGGATCCAATTAGTGAGCAGAACTTTGATGCCTATGTGAACACGCTGACAGACATGTACACCAACCAGGAGTGCTACCAGAACCCGGAGAACAAGGACCTGCTGGAGAGCATCAAGCAAGCTGTCAAGGGCATCCAGGTGTAGCGCCACAGGATGGAGAGCAGCAAGCAAACAGACTGTAAGATGGAACTTCCCCTCCAAGTATTCAGGTTTACAAGTTGGAAAACTTGTTTAATGAATGAAAAAAAAAGAAAAAAAGGACCAAAATGTAACGAAGAGGCCATTTCTGAGACATGGAACTGATCAAACTCAATGTTCTCGTTTACTTAACTTTGGACCTTCTTGACAAAAGTGGGATTTTATTCCACCTTGACCACGAGGTAGATCAGGATGGAAGGTTAAATTCTCCAGTAGGCTGTGGGGCTTGGTAGCAGGTGAAGAGCAGGCATCTTCCATGAGTTGCTTGTTCTTGCAGAATAGATCCAAGGGTTAAAACGTTACAAGAACAGGGTCTTGTCTGATCCAAGACTAGTGTATGACTGGCTTAAACCCTCATGTTGTCTATGGTCGTATGTCCAGATCACCTACTCACACATGAGTTATGTTCTATGTTGCTACAAGTGCTGGAGCTGCAAGCTACCTGTAAATCTGAACCTGTGCTGGGCCTCCCAACCCCGAAGTGTTCAGATATCCACTGGGCATGGGAACTCTGAAGTATTATAAAGTAGCTTATTTTTATTTTCTGAAAGAAATCTGAAGAGCAGTTCTGGATCTCCAGTGGAAAGCGCAATGGAAAAAAGGTTCTCAGGGAAGCTTTTGGAGTTTGCAACTACAGTATTCCTTTGTCTGTCTTAAATATGAGAGTAGCTATTATGAATAGGCCAATTCCAGATATTTCAAACAGAAGAATTTCTTTAATGTGTCATGGTCCGGTGTATATGATTTTTTGGAAATCTGTTGATGACAGTTCTGGTTATTTTCATTATTGTGATCATCCCTACAGTGGCACAGTATTGCCAGTCCAGAGATCATACATCAATGCCAGAGAACGGTTGAGATTGTGATGAACAAAACAAACCAAATCAAATCAAATCAAAAAGAAGCAAAAAACCAACAAAAAGAGAGATATTAATTGATGGCCAGAAAAGTGCTTATGTACTGTGAACCAGGAGTTGATTCCTTACACGTACCCACAGGGCAATGAGGATGGTTTGGTTTGGTGTTCTGGGATTTGCGCAATATCACAGTGCGGGCACCATTCTGCAACAAAAGAAAAAGAAAAAAAAAAAAAAAGGAAAAAAAGGAAAAAATAAAAGAGGATTCAGGTATTGGGAATTCTTCCAAAGAAGCAGGTGTAAGCAGCTGGGTACACACAGCCCTCTGTGCACTTAGAGAGCAACTCTATGAATGTCTTTGGGGTGCTGCTCTGCAGCACTGCTCCATGGCCAGGGCCAGCTGTCACCCCACAGGGCTGCTCCCCACCTTCGCTCCCACCTGGAGCTCACTTCCCTCCCCAAACACTTCAGAGGGGCAGAACCCCCCAGCGTGGGGGCATCCCATATCCCACATCCTGCATCACTCCCAGCCGTGGGGCAGGCAGAGCTGGGGAGGATCTTGCTGACCCCAACAAAAGGCAAGAGTGTGGTGTTGTTTCAAGCCAAATCCTGCAGATATTTAGGCTATAATTCCCGATTTGGGGAAGTCAGTGGAAAGTCCCAGTGGCTACCATGGCCACGGGATCTGGCCTGGAAGGCCATGAGTGGCTTGATTGGAGTTGTTCCCTGTGTTAAATTCCATAGGGCAGTTGGTCTGGGTGGGCTTGCTCCCATACTTAAGTGTTTGCAGGATCAGACTCCAGAGTTCACTTATTTTAGAACCCATTCCAAGTGCAAAAATTAAAAAAAAAAGAAAAAAAAAAGGGAAAAAAGGTATAAAATTTGAGGTGTTAAAAACACAATGTTCTTAACATGTAAATAGAGTCCAAATTGATTGTGACTGCAATTCAGTTAGTATTTAAAAGTAGAGAAATTGCACTTACTGGAAGAAAGAGAAGAAAAAAAAAGTAGTTAGTTTAATTATGCTGTAAATTATTTAATTTTGGCAAGATGTATGTAATTTATATTTACAACACCTTATGTTAACTTTTTGCTATTTATTTAACTTTTTTATTTATTAATTTTATACTTATTTTAAACTGGACACTGCACCATAGAAATGAAGATAAAAGAAGCAAAAAAAAGTTAAAAATGAAAACTTTTGACCATAAAAAAATGATATTCCAAAAAAAAGAAAAAAAAGAGAAAACGCCTATCTACAACTCCTACTTGTAATTTTGATGCAACCAAGTTATTTTTTATATATTTTGTTATTTATTCTTTTAATGATGGGAATTTTTTTAAAGATATTTTATAACTGAGACATTTTGATAATTTTTTTGTTTGTTTTTTTGTGGGGGCAGGGGCACTGGGGGGAAGAGAGACTTTTTCAGTTTTTCTTTTTTTTTCATTCATATTGTTTCAGGCACTGATAACAGGAAATGAAAATTCTGTATTTATTATTTATTTAATATTTAAGTCGGGAAAAAAATGAACTGTGCTCTTGTTGTATATTTATTTTGTTGTTTGTGTGTTGGTTATGTGATGACTGAGTACTTGTTTATGTGAAGGAATACTGTTAATATTTAAATAATAAAGAGTCACATTGAAAGTTATAGCAGGCTACATGTTATTCTGTGAAAACGAATACTGTGATCTACTTTCCTCAGGAAATGTATTTTGCAGACAGAACTTCCTTATGTACTGGCAGGGTTCTTTCATAATAAAACCCAGTTCTGTTTGTGACTTTAGTTCCTATGGTCTTTCTTCAAGCTGTTGCCAACGTGTCCCTACTGGGCTTTGTCCTTGTCCTGCACCGTGGCTTGGGGGTGCTCAGCGTGTCCCTGCTCACCTGCAGTTCCAGCCAGGGACTGTGCACCTCCCACCTGGCTCTTCCCACCTCCTAAACTGGGGGATTTCAGCGGAATTTAGGTTTGGTATCGCTGAAGGCTTTGGAGAAGAAGGAGCTGCCACCATCCAGCCAAGCAGGTGCTTAAAATCCTGCTAGTGCTGTGATGGGAATTGTAAATCCCAGGAAGGCTGGAGGCAGGATTCCTCTGGGCAGGGCTTGCCCCCTGCACCCCCAGGAGTGCAGGAGCAGCTCTGCTAAGGAGACAGGCTGGGGGTGCTCAGAGCTGGGGGTGTTCAGCCTGGAGAAGAGAAAAGAGCCTTTTCCAGCATCTGAAGGATGCCCAAGAGAGATAGGGAGGGACTTGGGGCAAGGGTGTGGAGGGACACGACACGGGGGATTGGATTCACACTGCCTGAGGGAAGGGTCAGATGGGATATTGGGAAGGAATTTTCCCCTGTGAGGGTGGGCAGGCCCTGGCACAGGGCACCCAGAGAAGCTGTGGCTGCCTCATCCCTGGAAGTGTCCAAGGCCAGGTTATACAGGGCTTGGAGCAGTCTGATCTATGGAAGGTGTCCCTGCCCATGGCAGGGGATTGGAATGAGATGATCCTTAGGGTCCTTTCCAACCCAAACCATTACAGGATTTCATGATCTTTTGGTTTTGTGCTTCCACAGGAGGTGTGTGAGCAGAGGAGATGTCATCAGAAGCAGTACAGGAGATGCCAGCCCTGGGATGCAACACAGAGATGGACACTTTTCCTTCCTGCATTTCTAAAAAAACCTTCAAAAACTGATTTTTGTCAACAAGATTTGCTCAGTTTCATCAACCCAACAGGGATGTTCACAGATTTCCCTCTTGGAAGAACAGAGCCTTTTCTCTGGTAAGAGTTTATGTTTTGAAGCGGTGGCAATGAAGAGAATTTTTCACTGATCTCTGTGTTGGATAATTTCTGAAGTTTCCAAAATTCAGTTTTGCTCTGCTGTAGCAGAGGTGAAATAATGTAAATCATATTAAGGCCATTTGGAGCTGCATGAATTGGATCAAAAGGGAATTTCAGGCAGGTTCATCACCAAGAAATTCAATTGTCTGATTAGCTGAACTGAACTTCTCTGTCTGTCCCTGCACAGAAGCACAAGCACTGCTGGGTTTCAGCAGAAGGAGGTGGCCCTTCCATAGGCACGGAAGGGAAGGGGCAAAGTAAAACAGAGCTGAAAAGGCAAGAACTGTAGTCAGAAAAATGTGGAGAAAAGTTTGAGTAGAAGGAAGATTTTCTAAAACCCTTCCTTGAGCATGTGCACGGCCTTGGGTGTTCACTGGGACTTTTTTCTGCCTTCATTTACTGTCTGGAAGGTGTCATGGTGCAGGACAACTGGCAGAAGCTTAGGGCAGGCTTAGGTTCCCTTAGCCAGTGGACCCTGAGAATAAACACCCCCAACAACTACGGAGATGCAGATGGAGCCCAACTTGCCCAGGAGCCCCAAGAACAAAGTCTCTTTGAGGCTTTGCTGGACTTCACTTGGAGTTGATGGGATTCTGTCCTTTTCTCACGGGAGGAAAAGCAGTTGGACTCATGTTCACCTCACCGGCTGGCACGCTGTTTTCCTGAAGGGCACATAATTGTTTTATGGGGGTTTCGCTCGACTTTGCAACGCTGAGCACTTCCTTGTGCCAATATTTGATTATGATGATCGAGCTAATAGATGTGCTTGCCTGTCCTTCCTTAACGAATTGGCTGAGCTGGATAATAGAGCGCTCAGATTTGTGCTAAATTGCAGCTCGGGGAGCCATCACTGGGAGATGTTATCTTCTCGGAACTGGCGTCCTTTATCACAGGGAAGGGAATTGAATTGGTTTAAGATGGTACACTCTCAGTTTATAGGTGTGCTTAGGAGAGCTCTTAAGCCTCCTCCAACAGGGTGTAGGGTGAGAGCGGAATGTCAGAGCAGAGTGGGCCTTTGGCTTCAAGGATGCCAGGGAAAAGATTCTTGTCAGCATATGGTTGTCTCTAAACACATCGATAAACCATTGACCAATGAGAGTCATTTGGCCTCACTGATGCTGCTGTTAATTGCTAAAAGCTGCTAATGACCCACTCCTCCAGTGGTACCTTCCACTTGTCAGCATCGACCTGATCTCTCCCAGAGAGGGTTCCAGCCATGGCTTTCAGCTGTAAGCAGAAAGGGGGGGGGGGGTCTTTCCCAGCCTCGTGCATTTTTCTGATTTTTGTTCCCCTTGCCCCACAGCTTCCCTGAGTAAAGGCTTGAATCACCTCACTCTGCTCCCACAACCAAAGGGGTCCTGAAA